GGGTTGCTACCCTTATATAGCTGAGTTGCTGTGGGTCTTACGAAACAGTCCCAAGATCTTCGGCTTGGGTAGATGAGATCTGTTTCCGCTTTAGTCGGGGAGTAACATATCAGTTAAGGAAGTCTATCATCTTCGCCCGATCCAGGTGGGGAGAGGATAAGGCCTGCCCTTATGCGGCGTGATCTCATGAGGTTCAGAGTTCACTAGGCAGCTTCTGGAGTCGTTGATGTGTCACTCCGGGTCTTGAGCCCCGAACTGGATTAGGCGTCGAGATGCCTTTATACCAAAGTGACTCAATGGCATGGTGGTTTTGTGCCGAGGTACCCGAGCTCTAATTACTGCTGACTGGGTTCTTTTTGTTGAGTTGTCATTCCTCGGGGCATATCACGTCCACGTGACCTCTACTTACTAGGTCGTGCCAAATCACCCTCCATCACCACCCAACCAGACAGTTGAAAATGGAATAGACCATTTTGATTTCAATTCTAAACTTCTATTCTTGCGAATCAAATAAACTCTTGAGTCCAAAAATATTCATGAATGTATCCCATATCATATTGTGTGCGTATTCACCAATGATGTTGTCGCATGCTTAGGTAATTTGGATCAATTGAATGTGATGGTTGTGTAGCTGGCTGTGGAACCAATAGTAATGCTCAACATTGGCCCCATTTGTTGATTTTTAGCAAGGGTAAGTTGACCACAATACCATAGATGTGTAAATCGGGTCGTGCTGCCCATGGCCCGACACGATTGTATGGATCATGTCAAGCTTGGGGTTTTAGGTCCATGGGCTAGACTGGCACGACATGACCGAACAGGCCGTGCTGCCTGTGGCCTGGCTCGGCACGGCCCCACATGGCCAATATATATTTATATATATAATATATTATATAAATTATAATTATATAATAATATATAATATATAAAATATTAATAAAATAAACAATTATTTTTAATTTTGATATACTTTTTATTTAATTATTATATATAAACAATTGTATACATCATAATTCATATAAAATAAAAAATTTAAGATTTTTTTTTTCATTTTCATAAATAAATAGCTTTGGTCTGGTCCATAGCCTGACTTGACTAAGGTTTGTTCTACAGACCAACCTAGCCTGTGGCACGACATGGCTAAGTTCGTGCAGACTTGGGCCGTGGGTTGTACCAGGCTGACCCCCAAGAAGAGGCACGGCTGGAGAGGGCCCGCAGGCCAGCATGGCATAGCCCATAATTTGAGGAGGCCGCACATGGGCCATGCCGTGCCGGCCCAGCACGGCCCGCTTTACAGCTCTACAATACCAGCGATCATTTGCTTATATTGGTTGGTATGATAATTTAGGATACTTGAGAGTTTACCTGGGAGGTGGATAAATGGATAAAAAATTTATCCGCCAGTTTGGTGAAGCGGTAAGTGCTCTCTCCCTCTCTCACCTCTGTCTGTAAGTAAAAAGGAACGGAGCGTAAGTAATAAGTGGTTGTGGGTTACATTAATTATATGATTGACATGTGGCATTACCATTGGTTCCAGGATTGGTTACACAGCCATTGCATTATGTTAATTGGTTCTCTTCATCATTAAATAGATGAAATGGAGGATCCTAATTTAAGAATGAATATTACATCAAACAGAATAGAATAGTAAAACAGGAATTGTGTAGCCGATCCTTATCCATTTAATTTAATTGGGATAATACTTAGATGATAATGATGATGATGATGATGATGCATGATGCATGATTTCTTTTCCCATGTGTAATTCCATATTGACATGTGCGTTCTATCTCTCTCGTATACATTATTGTCCTTCATACTTTTGAGCTTTTCCTCAACTGGACAATAAATTGAATCTTTTCCACACACTCACACACGCAACAAGATGAGAATTAAAGAGGAAAGCTCATGTGAAATAACATTCCCATTTCCTAACACCCATTTGCCCTTCTTCTTTTCGTTTCGCATGAAGAAGAGATATAAATGCAATTTTAACTTTAATAGATAAGGCTGCAATTCAATCGATCATATTTACTTGTGTTGCCACGTGTACAAAATTTATAACCCCATTTTTATACGTTACTATTGTTGGAATTAACGATCTTGATCAACTACAAAATCCATCCACGTGGCAGGAATCGGTTGATTTGTGTTGAGAAGTTCTTTACTTGAACAGTTGAACCAACTAGTGGACCCTTTTTCAGTTTATTTTGAGTTTCCTTCCAATGCCAATTTTGGATTCCATGAACATTCAGCCATTTGGATCCAAAGACGGGTTTTCTATTTATTTTCACAACAAAGCAAAGAAAGAAAGAGAATGAATCTAAGTAGTTGAAAATTATTCCAATTATAACCCGGATCTTCTCACTGAACTCGGTCAACCCGTTGAAACTTTCTCTCAAGTATAAATGTAGAATAACTTGTCAAAATAAGCATAATAAGCGTATAATACCATTCTTTCTTGACTCAGCAGGTTCCTTCCTTGCCAAATTACCCCTGAATAGTTAATCAAATTTATTAAATACTTTTTCATAACAAAATTAACCCTGACCCAAATTCGAGCTGACATTAGGCGGTTAGGCTTTAAGAATGGCAATGGGTGAGGATCAAATTCCCCATCTTCAACCTTGAATTTAAAATAAATTTTCATCCTTGACCCTAATCCCTGCTAGAGATAAAAATAGCTCTCCATCCCTAATGCTTGATGGAGATAGGTCCATTATTGTAGACTCCAATTCCTAAAATTTTTAATTTAAAAAATAGATTTAAATATTTTCAAAATATAAAAATATTTTGATATAAATAATATTATATATGTATATATTTAATATATAATCCTGATGGAACAGGGTGAAGAATTCTCTTCCCATCTCTGGCCGAGGGAAAGTTGCCATCTCTACTAGGCTCCCACTAATGAAGGGTAATTCTATTATAAATATATTTAATAAGATTGATGGATGATTGAGAGATAGTTTGATCATATAAAATACTTATTATGTAAACAGAAAATGAATTTTAGACACTAAAATTCCATGACAGCGGGCTGGAGTATGCTTTTCCAACCATCGTTAACTGGATGGGTTGGACTGTTCGGTCGTCTAGACAATCAATTCTGTTTTACTTTAAATCCGGTCCTTAATAAAAAATCATTGAATCAATCAATGATTCATTAATTCAAGCGATTGAACCATTGATTTTAGTTATTTTTAAATTTTAATTATTATTTTTATTTATTTTATTAGATAGAATCATCTATTTAAACTAAAAATCGATGGTCAGAACGATTTTGATTCCGAATTGTTTTTTAAAACATTATTATGGAGGTTTTGAAAACTCACGACGAGCTGAAGAAAAATGCGAAAACATGACGGTGAAATTTTAATTTTAGATAGTATCCCAATGAAATTTGGCACGGACCACGGAGACCGAGTGTCCAGGAATAATATGAAAATTCGACGTCTCAGATTACGAGGAACCCTCGAGACAACAACTTATTGATTTCTTTCTTTCTAGGTTGCGGAACACCTGAATAAATAAGTAATGAAGAAAGAAGAGTAAGCAGAAGCTTCCTTTGGCCGACAAAAGAGACCCCGGATTCGATCTCAAATGACGAGAATACCCCTGTCAAGTGCACAGCCTGCACGCACAGACAGACTCCGGGCAGGCGGCCACCGAGCCAACCTCACCACGTGCATACATGTGGCACCAAATGAGACTTGAGGGCTCTGAGACAAACCCCGATGAGACCCACGGGCGGTCGTGGCAGTGTCGGTCACCGTTCAATAGCAAAAGACGGTCTCCATCACCGTCCAAACGATTGGATGCTTGATGATTTAACAAGGGGCCCACAATTGACAATAGGGAACATCACAGCGTAAGCAGAGATGGACCAGAAAGAAACGCGACAAAGAGCCAGATGTGTTGACGCGTGTCTTGTTGTTTGTTCCCCGATACCAACCGCTTTGGACCGTTTTTTTGTTTTTAACGTATTCCCATTACTACTGCCAGTCTGGTACACTTCGCTATCACTCACTCACTCCGCCTCCCGATCGGATCCCCCGCACAGTAGTCTCGGGCCGGGCACGAGGCATCACATCAATTCACACCCACATCTCTCCCATTCATTAACCCTAAAATTTATTGATAGGTGCCAATAATTTTACTGTTCAGTTCATCCCAAAAATTTTAAGTTAATTTACAGTTAAGTTCAGAATTCTGAGGTGAAGTACAGTGAATTTTTTTTTTTTAATTTAGGGTTACGGAAGTTACAGATCCCAAACGAATCTTTGCTGCTGGAATCAAACCCGGACCGGAATCAGTGGGGATGTGTCAGTGTCTGCGACCCACTAATTGTTTATTCCAATCAAACGTTCCATGTTGATCTCTTCCTGTCAATGGGTCGGGTTTACACGATTGACCCGAACCAACCAAAAACGATTATGTTTCGATTCTCGCCTGTCTCAAATCAATTCAGACATAGAACTGATTATTTTATTGAATATATATAATGTTTTTTTCTTATAATTTTTATTATATTTTAAACTTGAAATGGAAAATTTGATATATTATAAATAAAATAACGTTATTTAAAAATATTAATTTATTAACCTATAAATAATTTAGTATTTTTCTATCATTTTTGTTAAAATTATATTATCAATATTTAAATTTTAAATCGTTATTTAAATAAATAAATATAATTTTCGGTATGATTGATTCATGGTCTAAGATTTTGTTCCGATTAATAATCGGATCAAATTGGTTATACTGTGATCCGACCCGATACGTAGACAGCCATCGTAAGACAAACACTTGTGACCTGTGAGCAAGATTCTTGCTACAGCCAGCAATGGTGGGGACAGTGTGGCAGCAAGCAACCCATGCCGCGAAAGCGGAAGGGTCCACAACAATTAGTGCTGGTGGTCCCCACTCCCCAACATCTCCATGAATCGAACTCATAAGGAAAAAAAAAAAAAAAGAAAAGGAGGAAAAAGCTACCCTTAAATCAAGGAAGAATAGATTAAACCTGTAAAAAAGAATCGACCTATTCTACACAATAACCATCCATCTGTTATCTGTGTATAAATATATCTTACAAAAAAAAAAAAGAACTGAATTGAATTTCTGTTCTACAGAAACCATGAAGCCGAAGGAGGAGATAAAAAAAGAGATAAAAGAAAGAATTTCAAGCAAACAAAACAAAGCCGTCAAATCCGTCATTGCCGCGTTCTTTGTAACCTGCTCCCTATAGTCTTGAGTTCGAACCTCTTTACAGATTGAGCCGCGTCCCGTAAGGTACTGTCTAGCTCGTATGGTATGCCTTCCACCGTCAGGTGGGTTACATTCACAAGCTGCCGGCATGGCTCCCGCCGATCGGCGATGGTTCCGTGATAATGGAAGTACTTAATCCGGCCTTCCGTCTTGTGTGTGGTCTTGCCGGCGACGTTCTGCGACATATGAACTCCGGTCGCAAACACATTACGCGGCTGGACCGCGTACTTGCGATCCCTCCTTATTCCTTTCTTTACATCCTTGAATACTAGCTTTTCAAACCCCCATTTTCTGTTGTTCATACCACCGAAACAAAACAACAAAAGCAAAGTAAGCAGCAGCTGAAAAGCAGTAATGGGTTGTATAATTATCAATCAAAGAATATCAAAATCAAACGACCAGTTCAGAATTAATACAGTGAAGAAAGCTTATAATTAAGTAATTTTGTAAATTGGTCCGATATTTGCATGCAAGAATATTCTGCAGCCAATCTTACCCAACCACCTCACTCAGGAAAACCTTTACTTTCAATCATGTGGTCAAGAATGGAAGTTTTTTTATTGATTCCTAAAGGAGCTTGTTTGGTGGGGAAATCATCATTGGTCCAATGGTTTATTCTTTAGTTCAAATTTCAGTATTCAGCTCCCCCATTCCTCGCCTACCCAAATAGAATCTAATCTAGAAATAAAGACAATCTAATCTAGAAATAAAGCAACTAAACATCATATTCATGGCTATAAGGCTAATAATTTTTAAGACAAAGCACTCGAAGCCTAATAATATTCTACCCAGAAAAAGAGAACCAGAACAAAGCACAAAAGCATTGCAATCACTCAACCACTCCATCCAAAAAAGCGAAGGTGCCTATTATCACTCTCATTGAGATCATAACAACTCTTAACAAGATTTTCTCGCTTAAGACAATCAAGATCGGACAAGGTGTTAAATATATAAACAGTCCAAATTGCCTATATTCATGTCTAATTGTTCAAGCCAAGGTGTCCCATCTGTATCATAATCACAACCTTTGACACGCTAACAACTTCACAACAGTATGGTTAAACTCCAGACCATCCTAGATTACGACTAAAACGGATATTTAATGGACATTTGACATTGATTAGTGATGTTGAAACTCAAAATCCAGTTGTTCAATCCCAAACATAACTGTAAATGCACAGCAAAAATCATCAAATCAGTGCTTTTAATTTCTCACCCTGCTCTAAAATGTTGAAGTTTCTAATTATACGAAATTCTTGAGTTTTCAGTTTTAAGTGAAATTGGAAAACAGAGTGAGAAGGTGCTTAGGTTGCGAAGAGGTACCTGTAAGTTTTTCCGGCGTCCTCTGCTAGGCAGAGCTTATTGGACATGGGCATCTGTTCAATGGTGAACTGGGTATAATCCGATAGAGAATCCAGAACCGATTTAATGGTGCTTTTTGGCGGGACATAAACGTATTCATCCACATCGAAGAAGAACATCCACTTGGCCATGAAGCGATACCGATGTAAGCAGTCATTCACCACGAGAAACTGGTTGTGATAGTAGCCATCAAACCGTTCCTGCTCTCTGATGTCCTGCAATGTCACATACCCTTTCTCCATCCATGGCTTCAGAACCTCCAGAACACCCGGATGGATCCCACCGGCGTCGTGTATCACGAAATGGGATTTTGGTCCGAACAGCCTCACATGGTAGGCAATCCACTCTCTCACCCTCTGCGGACTGAGATTGCCGTATAACGATGAGCCACAGTACAAGTAATCGAACTGAGGCGGCGATTTAAAGACCGAAACGTTCAAGCTCCCCGGAGCTTCTCTCAAAGCCTCGATCTTTTCCGTTGCATTAACATCTCGATCGAAGCCGCCGTTGGTCCAGGAATGGAGGATTAGCTTACCACCTGAGCCGTCGGCACCGACCGGCTCCGGGAACGTGCAATTGACAACAACGACGGTGTATACTCGTCCGTATCCCCAATCGGGATAAATCTTGTAACCGTCGGTGAACAATGATTGGTTACCGGAATCTGGGACCCACTCGCATTGATACTGGGGCTTACCGTAGACATGGAGAGGCTTGGAGGCAAGACCGACAACAGCGAAAGTGTCGAGGCCACCCCTGTAAGTACCCATCTGGATGAAGGCGTAAGCAGCAGCGCCGTATGGGTTGAAAGCTCGCTTGACGATGCCCCCATCGAGGATCTGATCCTGTTCAAGGGACGGCGGTGATGGAACAGGCGGAGGGGGAAGAGAAGGGGGTGGTGGGGCCTCAGAGGAGAGCTTGGAAAGGCAGAGACGGAAATCGGAAGGAGAGATGGAGAGGCGGGAAGGAAGGAATTGAAGAACAGTGGCTAAAGAACAGAGAAAGAGAAGAGCCGTTAGAAGAATTTTAAGCTCAGCAGCACAGCTCCAAACGACCCCTACGAACATGTTCCTCTCCTTCTCTCTCTCTTTCTCTTTAGCCATCTAAAGATTACTACGCCGGTTGTGGAAGAACAAGAAGGGGAAGAAGAACAAATGCTCTCTTTCTCCCTTGCTTTCTTTCTGTGTTGCTTTGTCTTTCTTTCTTCCGTTTGCTTTCTCCTTTCAAGCTTCAACAACTGGAAAAGCAGAGAGAAAGATAAAGAGAGAGAGAGAGAGAGAGAGAGAGGGGGTGACTCAAAAGACAAAGGTAATGAGAATTAAATATAGTGAGAAATCATGGGTTAAAGAGTAAAAGCAGTAATGCTGAAAATTTGTTAATGGGAAAGTAAGGAGAAGTAGAGACTAGAGACTAGAGACTAGAGAGAGAGGGAGAGAGGAAGCAATAGACAATAGTGTATCTGCGTATGAGAGAGGGCCACGTGGAAAGTGGTGCAGGCTCCAGAATCGCCAGACCCGATGGCTACTCTCCAAATTTTGCTTTGCCCTTCTGGAAATGAAAAGGTTGGGCTGGGTAATGAGGGGGACCTTGGACAGCCCGGATCCAGTGCATTTGGACTCGAAGGAAAACTCCTTTCAAGTTCCTAGATTTTGTGACACGTGTATAATCGCAGGGATTTAACAACGCGTCGACAAACGAGGGGACTCGGAGGAACAATCCGTTCGAGTCCAAACGCGAACGCACTGCCACTGGCCACTGGGGATCCGGAGTGGACTTTGGCTTTCCATCATTGGCGTTAGGAGTCCATGCAAAAAGTAAAGTAAAAGCCTCGAACCGTCTGATTGATGACGAAGAGTTGTTCTCGTTTTCCATTATTTGACTGGAAAACAGATTGTAATCGAAATTTCTTCCTTTCACGGGAAAATGAATGAATTATGCATCAAAGGAATAAGAATTTTCTTAGGCTCCTCCGTTTGATTCATAAATCATAATAGAAGTTGGAATCAGAATCACAATTTCATTGAATCGGAATCGGAGTGATCTATTTTCATAATCTGCTTGGTTTACACAGGAATTGGAATAGAATTAGCTAAAATGGAAATGCCACCACCAGAAATGAAAATGGAATTTAGATTCGCCCAACCAAACGGAATGGCAGATTCTGATTCCAGACCCTATGCAAACCATGCCTTAAAATTCGGTGCGTGGAAAAATTGGAAAGAGGAACGAAAGAAAGAGAGAGAGAGAGAGAGAGAGGATCGATCCGCGTAACGTGTGTGTCGTGGCCTAATTAGAAATTCCCTTCGTGTGGGACCCACCTTGCGTTGTTCCTATCAAATGATTGGTGGACGGTCCTGATATTCCTACGTTGATCCCCCCACCAAGCCAATTAGCCGAGACCAAAACCAAGAAGAGCAACGCCGACGCCGATTTTATTGTCCCCTTGCCAAATCTAGCATCAAGCACATCACGATTCACAACCAGAGCCCAGTTTTACGTGGATCCACTCTCAGACCCCACGTATCAAAAATCGATGGAGTAAGATGGAGATTAGGCTTTTCTTTAGCCATCCCAATCCCATTCATTTCAAGTTTCAAGTTTCAACCGCCCAGAAAAAGAAAAATCCGGACTTATTTTTATTTTTGAACGGTGGCAATGATTACTGTAAAGCACGTGAACCAACGGGGACACAATAGGAATTTCACCAGGAACGATCCTGCTCCAATATCCTACTGCCTGGATTAGTGATGCTGACGTCTGTAATTTAGCTATATCAGGAATGTATTTAAATTAAAATTTTTAAATAAATACTGTGTTTTAACTCATTTATTAAGTAGGTAAGGCTGTTAAAGAAAGAAGACGACCGTATATAAGTTGTAGAATGTTCTTTGGTTTGACCATTTTCCTATAAATCGAGGAAAGAATAGAGAGAATAGATACATCGTATATATGACAACGTGAAGGGTGAATACCACATGTCCTGTTTAGATAAAACAAGTTTGGCTTATTATTTTCATACATCGGTAGGTAGCAATTAACCCAAAAAGTTCAACTTGTTTTTTGGATATTTCTCTCTCCCTCATATTATGTCTCAATTGCCATGTGGCAAGAATGTTTATTTCCCTTACCTATTGCTTGTGTCTGAAGACATTTAAAAAAATATTAATTCTATACTTATTTAATCATGGCTAGTTATGAGAGTATGAGATGAGACCTCCATGTGGGCAGAAGAGCCTGAGTTTCGGTTCCCTTGAAACACGGCCAGACCACAACGCGTTTTGAGTTTCCTTGGAGAGGACAGCAAGGCCCAGAGCCCAAGGCCCAAGGACACTAGACCCTAGGGGACAGTGTAATAATCACTTGTTTTTGGTAAGAAATGTTTTATTAATGCATGGTCAGATAGGCCTAGTTTATGTTCCTTTCAATGGATCCACATTGTAGTTTTTAGTTTATGTTGCTTTCAGTGCAGTTCAGCGGAGGTTAGCTATTAGCTAATGAAGGTTTGAGATCATGGGCTAAGCTGAAAAGCCGGCTATTGGTAAGGATCAAAACATAAAGAAAGCAAGCTATTCAGCTTTCAGTAGTTGTGCTATCCATGTTGATTCAATTTAAGAGGTGGATCCACCCATTTTCAGCTAAACCCTAATTTCAAAGCAGATTCACCCAGAGTAGTTCTTTTCATTATTTTCCTTCTTTCTTTTATATTGAACTAATCTGTGAAGCTTGGCTATGATGGTGAGTGAGACTAATACGCAATTAAAGCAGCTCCAAACGTAAGCACATAGATTATGAATTATTGGTTTCTTGTTTTACTGATGACTTGTCGGCCGGTGATAATTAATTACTCCAAGTACAGCCTACCCAAGAAAGAAAGGCTCCTCGTTGACAAAATTCTAAGTTTTATAAATGCTTTGAAAATTAATTCTTCCTCATAGCTTATTCTCTCCTCCATAATGTCTAATTTCAAGATTCTTCTGCAGATTTGAAAATCTAAATTCTTGGCCCATGTTGATCGAGCTTTTATATATGTTGAAAAGCACGGTGGTTGCCATTCCAAATTATTTTATGACTTTTTTAGGGTAAATTACATATTATTGTCCAATACCGTAGTGGCAATTATCATTGAATTTGTCAATAAAACACGTTCCAACCCTCTATCAACTTGATCTAATGCCGTATATCTCATCATCATAAAATTGACCCGCTATATATCAAATGTCCAGTGTGAGATCATGTTGGTAGAGGGTTAAAATGTGTTTTATTGGTAGGTGATCCAGACTGAAAAAGATTCTGTCAATTAACTTTGAAAAAAAAATTCTTTGTTTAAATTTTTTAAACTTCAAAATAACCCTTTTCTCTAATAATATTTTAGCGTTATTTTATTTTCATTTATTACTAATATAATTGATATAATTAATTGCATGTTGTAGTTGTTGCAATTCCAAGTTTTCATAGGAGTTTTTTGGTTTATTTTTCTGTTACAATTTCCATTTTATAAAAGTTTCTTAGAGTGTGTATTTTGGTCAACTAACTTCTTCCATACTCAACTTTATTGAGGAAATGGTCATTCCCTATCCCTCCTTTGAGAATGAAATCCAATTCCTACTTACTTTCATTTTCATTTCCATTCCTATATGAACCAAACAGATTATGAGAATAGACCATTTCAATTCCTCTTCTGATTTTAACTCCAACTGTGAATCAAAAAGACCCTTATATCTTAGAAGGTGAGACATGATTATAACTAGTCTAAAAGATACAGGTGGTCTGGCTATTCCAGGTGTATTATATTTGAAAAATATGGGTCTAAGTCATGAAGTTAGTTTGTAAAAGTTTCTTACTTCCTCTAACGGTGCATGGGTGAATGTGGTACGTCTCAAATATGTTCCCAATGGTTCGTCTTATTGGCTTTCTAGCAAGAGAGGAGGTTTTATACTTCAGGCGAGGAGGGTTTTCAAAGATTGGTATATGTTGGAACTTGGAACATCCCCAATGGTTGGAAACTTGGAATTTACGTGCTTTTGTTTATCCTGATAGTCATAGAGTTATTTATACCTGGTCCCATGATTTTTAAAACCGATCTGGTCAGGGGTTCAGTTATCATGTCGATCCGAACAGTCGGCCCGTTCTGATAAAAAATAAAAAAAAAATAGAAAAAAATAAAAAAATAAAAACCGGTCAAAACCGTTCAAATGGTTAATCACCCGGGTCAGCGGTTTTCTGACCAAAATCAACGGTTTTTATAGAAAATCCAGTTTTGGTGACGACGAAGTATATTGTAGATCCGATGGAGAGGACGAAGAAGGTACTTATGAGCATGAAGAGTACACGTGTGTTGTGAGGAAGCTAATGCTATCTCAGAGAAGTAAAGATGACACACAACGACACCGGCAGTTTCGCGCTAGGTGTATGGTACAAGGTCAGTTATTTGAATTAATTATTGATAGCGGCAGTCAGGAAAATATTATCAGCAGGGATGTGGTACAGAAACTGCAACTAATTCCTGAGAAACACCCAAACCCTTACACGATTGGTTGGATCAAGGAGGTCGGGGGCATACGTGTGGAGGAACACTGCAAGGTTCCATTCTCTATTGGTAAGTATACTGATGAGGTTTATTTTGATATTGTGGATATGGATGCTTGCCATATTTTGCTTGGTAGGCCGTGGCAGTTTGATGTAGATGCCAAACACCTGGGTAGGAAGAACACATACCAGCTCGAGAAAGAGGGTGTGCGCTATACACTATTACCTATGGCAGAAAAGAACCAAACCAAGGCTTCAAAAGTAGATGAGAGGAATTTTCTTACCATAACACATCGCCACTCTGAATTTGTAAGGGAATGTAAGGATACCCACGAGGTCCACTTACTGGTTATAAAAGGGGAGAGCATGAGTGAACCACTAGCGGAGAACAAAATTCCAATGGAAATGCAGGGACTGCTCGATGAGTTTCATGATGTAGTTCCTGACGAGTTACCCAATGAACTTCCACCCATGCGAGACATTCAGAACCACATTGATTTTGTTCCTGGTGCTAGCCTACCTAATTTGCTACACTACAGAATGAGTCCTAAAGAGAATGAGATTTTACGAGAGAAGGTAGAGGAACTGTTGAAAAAGGGGCACATCCAAGTTAGCATGAGTCCTTGTGCGGTACTAGCATTATTAACACCGAAGAAAGATGGGAGTTGGAGGATGTGTGTTGACATCAGAGCAATCAACAAGATCACTATTGGCTACAAGTTTCCCATTCCTAGGCTAGATGACATTCTTGATCAATTTGATGGGGCTGTGGTCTTTTCCAAGATCGATCTCAAGAGTGGTTATCATCAAATTAGAATCCGTCCCGGAAACGAATGGAAAACCACTTTCAAGACAAGAGATTGATTGTTTGAGTGGTTAGCCATGCCTTTTGGACTAACTAACGCACCAAGCACTTTCATGAGACTAATGAATCAGGTACTACGCCATTTCATTGGTAAATTTGTGGTGGTATATTTTGATGATATCTTGATTTATAGCAAGTCTGTTGATGAGCACATAGGACTTATCCGAGGGGTATTGAGTGCGTTAAGGGAAAATAAACTATATGCTAATTTGAAGAAGTGTACTTTTATGAGCGATAGTTTATTGTTCTTGGGTTTTATTATAAGTAATGATGGAATTAAAGTGGATGAGGAGAAAGTGCGAGCCATTAGGGAGTGGCCAACCCCAACGAACGTCACCGACGTAAGGCGTTTCCATGGGTTAGCAACTTTCTATAGGCGGTTTATCAAACACTTTAGTAGTATTGTAGCTCCTATCACTAAGTGTTTGAAAAAAGGTAAGTTTCAGTGGGGAGATGAACAAGAGCAAAGTTTTGCTCTCATAAAAGAAAAGTTATGCACCGCTCCTGTCTTAGCACTGCCAAGCTTTGACAAATTATTTGAGGTTGAGTGTGATGCTAGTGGAGTGGGCATAGGGGTTGTGTTATCAAAAGAAAGGAGACAAGTTGCCTTCTTTAGTGAAAAACTATGCGAAGCCAGGAAGAAGTGGTCCACTTATGATAAAGAATTTTATGCTGTTGTAAGAGCATTGAAGACTTGGGAACACTATTTGATTGCTAAAGAATTTGTCCTCTACACCGACCACCAAGCTCTTAAGTATTTAAGTGAGAAAAAACAGTTGAGGAGTGATCTGCATGCTAGGTGGTCTACTTTTATTGATAAATTCCCATACAAAATTGTGTATAAGGCTGGACAACAGAATACAGTGGTAGATGCTTTGAGCATACGTGTGGCCCTGATTAAGACTCTCAGTATCGAAATTGTGGGCTTTGAATGTTTGAAAGATCTGTACGCCCAAGATGAAGACTTCAAGCAAGTTTGGGAGAAATGCATGAACAGGTAGCCAGCGGGTGATTTCTATGTACATGATGGATTTCTTATGAAGGGAGACCAATTGTGTATTCCTTGCATATTCCTTCGCGAGAAAGTCATTAGGGACTTGCATGGTGGTGGCTTAGCAGGACACCTCGAGAGGGACAAGATGATTGAGGCTGTCAAGGGGCGTTACTACTGGCCTAAACTGAGAAGAGATGTGACCACTATCGTGAGTAGGAGCTATATATGTCAGACAGCTAAGGGACAGACCCAGAATACTGGTCTTTACATGCCTTTACCAGTTCCTACTGATATTTGGGAAGACTTGTCTATGGATTTCGTGCTGGGCTTGCCGAAGACTCCAAGAAACATGGACTCCGTCTTTGTGGTTGTCGACCGGTATTCCAAGATGGCACATTTCCTCCCATGCAAGAAGACCGCTGATGCAACAACAACAACCAAACTATTCTTCAGGGAGATTGTCCGTTTACATGGGGTTCCTAAGACCATTACATCGGACCGAGATACGAGGTTCCTAAGTCACTTCTGGATGATCTTGTGGAGGCTATTTGACTCGTCATTGAATTTCAGCAGTACAACTCATCCGCAGACTGATGGGCAGACAGAAGTGGTAAATCGAACTCTAGGTAACCTGATCCGCAGTATTTGCAGAGAGAGGCTGAAGCAGTGGGTCTTTGCCATTGCTCAAGCAGAGTTTGCCTACAACAATGCAATTCATAGCTCTACAAGTAGATCCCCATTTTCTATTGTTTATATGAAGGTCCCTAACCATGCGTTGGACTTGGTGAAGCTACCTAGGGTACTAGGCCTTAGTACCTCAGCAGAGCAGTTGGCAAGTCAGATTCAGTCAGTACAGGAAGAAGTACAGCAGAAACTTCAAAGGACCAATGCAAAGTATAAACTCGCAGCTGACAGGCATCGCAGGTACCGGGTGTTTGACGTCGGTGATGAAGTCATGGTGTTCTTAGGGAAAGAACGCATACCCGTTGGGAAGCATAGCAAGCTACAGCCTCGGAAGTACGGTCCATACAAGATTATTAAGAAGATCAATGACAATGCTTACGTAGTGGACTTGCCAGATCACATGGGTATTTCCAAAACATTTAATGTTGCTGATCTTCATCGTTATTTACCAAAAGCGACACTTGCATACCCCGATCTTGACTCGAGGTCGAGTTTTTTCCAAGTGGGGGAGAATGATGGAGGGCCAGCTCAAGACCCACCGAACCAACCGGCGACAACTCATGTCTAGAGAGACCTTATGTCATCCAACATGCATAGGATAATGGCGACAGCTCACGTCTAGAGAGGACTCCTTATGACATCCAACATGCATCGGATGATGGTGGCTATCGAACAGTGGATGTCAAAAGCATACTGAAGAAGAATTCAAAGATGTTTTAGAAGTCAAGTTCCTAGTTGTTTTACAAGCCTAAATTACCTAGTTATTTTAGTCTACAAGTCTACCCGTATGTATTATAAATACTTCAGTTTCTGAGCTCAATGGTACACACAAGAATTTCTTATCACCTTTTTCTCTCTCTACTAAGGCTATGCCTAGTTCTTTCTTTCGTGAGGCTTCAAGACCGAACCGACTCGATCGTCCGATGCTTGTTCGCCCGGTCGAGTGTGTCACGCTGCGTCAAAGAGAGAGAACAAGTGAACCGAACAAGAGGTTTCACAGGCTCTGATGAAGAAGCAAAGAAGGGTCCTCCGGTCTGTCGACTTTCGTTTTCAGGTTTCCTAGGCACAACACAAATACAGTTCCAAGAGAGGGGTTCCATAGGGGGTTGCCACTGCCGCCACCCTTATTCTGTTCACTCGTTCTCTGTTTCTTCAACAGAGCACTGCATTCTTGAAGAAGAAAGAGGATGAAGGGTGAGGAAAGTATTAGTCAATTGCTAGAAACAGTAGGGGTATTGTTAGTCAATTTTCAAACAGTAAAGGTACACTTAGTCAATTAACTAAATAATAGGGATAGTTTAAGAAATTTACCTTAATAATAATAATTGTTTTATAAAAAAATTGTCTAATATTTCTTAGCATGCTATTAAATTCCTTGATTAATATAAGCCATATAAAAATTTCAAGAACAAGGACTTGGGCCTTGGTCATTAAATTAAAAAAGAAAGTAAATCCACCACTATACCATGCATTTTTCTTATTCCATTTTATATCCTATAATAGTATATTTACATTGGATGCTTAAAATGCATGGATATTCTCTTGTTAAATCATAACAATTTAGCTTGAATAAGTGGATCTCTCTCTCTCTCTCTCTCTCCCATGTTGGCAATTTATCCCACTTCTCCCTACTCTCTTATCTCATGATCCGCTCTTTTATCTCTTGGTATTCTCTACCATATGTCTCTTCTCCCTCTCTCTTTCTATATTGTCTCGTCTTTCCCTCTCCTCCCCATCTCTGTCATCTCTCACTCTCACAATTTCCCTCCTCCAAGATCTCCCATTTTCTCTCTTGTTTCTTTCTCAATATCCTAAAATCTCTCCTATTTTTCTTCTCCCAATATTTCTCCTCTGCCTATCTTTCTATCCACCAACTCTCTTATTTCTCCTTTCTCCTCACGATCTCTTTCCTCCCATTTGATCTCCTTTCTTCTCTCCTCTCTTCCCAGTCTGTCTCTCCTTTAACATCTTTCCATTCTTCCTTTTTCACCAAGTTTTTAACACATGGTCATTTGTAAGGTTTTTAGAAAACATTTTAAGATCAAGTTGACCTTGTGGCTTACTTTTTTGTGAAATTGTGTAAATAAAAATGAATTTCGTGTATAATGTTTTTCAAGTATGTTAAATAAATAGTTAGATTAGAAATTTCAAAAAATGAATGAGTTCTCTTAAATTTATGCATCCTATATTACTCTACCTTCTATGCATTCTATGTATTTAATATTATAAATAATCATTACTTATTACAAATTAAAATCAAAATAGATCACACCAAATTAATAGTTTGCATATTTAAATTACATACTTTATTATTTGACTTGGTTTTATGGTCCTTTAAAAAACAGAAATATAATAGATAACTTGACTTTTAAAGCTCTATTTGCAATTATATTGTGAATTGGATAGTTGAGTTTATGAATATTTTAATATTCTTAATTGATATATTATGGTTGCTAAAAAATAAAATAAAAACAACAAATTCAGTTAATACATGTAAATGCAACAATTAATGATGCTAATTAGAATGTATGATAAGTTAACAATAATAGCATTATACATCATATAATATTTTTATCTATTAAACTGCTTGGTCCAACAACAATTTAAAGTATTGCACTGAATTTTTAGTTGATTGAAAGCTCAAACATTTGTATTATACCAACCTTAAATTCAATGTTATTGTTGTATTTGTAAAAATTTCCTCCATATATCCAAGAATATTCATATCATTCAACTTTATCAATGCATAAATCAAAACGTATCACAATACATATCAATATACAAGCTCACTGATACAATATACGATATTGACATTTTTGCAATATTGATATTTTGAACCTTGATCAGCGTTTTATGCTTCCTGTCCTGATAATATATACTCATTGTCAGGCTCAGTCCAGTGCACATTGAATATGCAAGCTTGCTCACTTTTAATATCATTAGCTTACAAATATACAATCAACTACTGAACTACTGTAAAACCAATGATTCAGATTAACGTAGGTTTCGGATTGGTTAAAGCATTCCAGGTGCCAAAGTTTCAAGTGTCATTGTCACATCTACATGATACAGGCTCAGGCTGGGGCCGCTGGGCCAAGCATGGAAAAGAAATGGAAATGTTCCCCTTTTTTTGTTATGTAAAAAAAAAAAAAATGAAAAAGGCTACAAGGGATATACTTTGAAATGTCACTTGTAACCAATATATCAAAATTGGGACGTACCCTCATCAACCCTCTAATTCTATTGTTTTATCATCATCATAGGACTAAATGTTGAGACATAAATGCATTTTGGCAAATCTGTAATATATATCATCTGCATATTTAACCCTTCAAATTATTGTTAGTTTGTTATCAGTGTATGTATTCAGCTTTCAGCGAAGCCATACCAATTGCAATCATTCCACCATATCCATGAATTTTAAAGCATATTGTGACTACCATTTTGAAATTGCATTTCCAGTGCCCTCGGATATTTTAGAGGCTATCATGCAAGATTCCGCAAAGTACATCTTTCATTGCCGAACAATTACAGGTATAATATAACATAAAAGTGGCCAAAAAAACTCATATCCACAGCTCTTGATCATTGGACCCTCAATTCTGTTCTTTATCACCAGAACCTTGTCCACGACCCCTTCCACGTCCACGACCACCACGAGTGCCTTCTTTCTGGAAATCAAAACCAATGTGTCAGTATTCATTTACAATGAAATAAAAGAACAAGTCAACAACCAATAATCTTTCAGGAACAGACGAACTCAGCAATAACTAAAAGCATTTAGTGGATTAGAATATTTTAGTCACCCTAATTGCAACGCCAGATCTGCCACGCCCTCTAGTCATAGGAGAGACAACTCCAGCTTGTCGCAGCAAGGCTCTTTGTCTAGCTCTCTCATTCAAATTTATGGTGGTCGGACTTTTTCCAGCTGCCACATCTTTCGGCTGCTCAACATCTGCCCCGACACTGGGACTGACTGGTTTTGAAACAGTACTGTCCATAGCCATACTTGACAATGAACTCTCAGCAGAACCAAAAGCAGCCTTTGGACTTTGCTCAGTTTCCATGGTTGCCTGGTCATTATCATTAGTAGATTTATCAGAGCCTTCAGTAATTTCTTCTTTTACATCAGCTCCATCGGTTTTGTCTTCATGTAGAACCTCAGAAATAGCAGTCTCAGTCACATCGACTTCTGTGGCAGTAACAACCTCCTCTTCATTACAAGCTGAACTAGCAACAGGAACCATTGCAGACTCAGGTTGACCTTCCCCCGACTCTGGGCTGGTCATAGTAACTGCCACATCACCACCCTCCTGATCCATCATATCTGGTATCAACTCTCCCTCTTCCCTCTCACCTTCAACATCCATAGCTGGCTGCTGCGCATCTTGCCCTTCACTGTCCTTTGATCCCTCATCAAAATCCTCCTCTGTTTCTTTTGCCTTGCCCAAGGTCTCTTCAGAAAGAGCATTAATATCATCCTGCTGTTCATCTTGATTCATGCCATCAAGTGGTGATCCCCTTGGCTCTTCAACAGGCTCCTTTGTATTATCTGCATCCTCGTCCTTTTCAACATCAATGGACTCATCATTTGAGGCATGAAGTAGTGCACCGACAGCTTCAAGTGTCTCTTCTGAAGCTGGTAGTGTTTCAATGCACTCAGGAGGCACAGAAGGCTGCCTTTCAGCATCCTCTTGAGGAAAATCCGAACCCCTAGACTTCTTAAGTGCAGGTGCTGCCATATCTGAGCTGGTCTCTTGTTGAGCAACTGACTCTTCTTGTAACTCAGAAGCCGAGGTAGAAGCTACACGTTTGCGAACAGACGTTTGAACAGATATAGATAGGTCTCCCAAATGCTCAATGTCATGAGATGCTCCAAGCTTCCCCTCACTGTTGGATGGCCCTTCCAGTTCAGGCATCTCAGTATCGCCTGTAGGCTCCTCCGGCCGTCCAAGGCGAGGTCGAATTAACTTCCTTCCTGTTTTGCGGGTTTCAATACCACTTTTTGGCAAGTTTGACCTTTTCTCTCTTTCCTCTGTTGTTTTAGATTGTAAATGGCTTGCTATAGTCCCCATTGAAATTTGGGTACCTTGAGCTGGAGCAGTAAGATGACGACCTGCAGAAAGGAGAATGGAAAACTTCTTTAAACTGAGTTGCCTAAAAGAGAAAAACATGGAAGGGCAAAGGACGGACAAATACCAGCAGCTGAAGTAGGTGCCATATCCACAACTGGAGAAATCTCTACAGGAAGTGGACGAGCTCCAGCTACATCATTGATAGTTGGATTTGCTGCCTCATGTAAACTTTCAACAGCCCGAACAAAGGCAGCACACTGGTCTTCCAAAGCAATCTCAGAAGGAAGCTCAGCCACTGATGCTCCACCGCTCTGAGGGTTAGTAAGTGGAAAAATAAAAGATGTCAGGAAAGTAGTGGAAAATGCATTTCTAAAGATAGCTATACGACATTCGATCAGCTACAAAATGTTGTAATTTCAAAATTTAACCTAAAAAACTTTGTAATGTGCAGTAGGGAAAATATTAAATGAAAGAAAGTAGAAGAAGATAAACATTTAAAGTGCACATGTACATCACTGAAAGAAAGAAAACGAGGCCTATTCCTAAAAGCCCAGACACATGTATGTAGTGAATATACCTCTTGAAGGCTCCCTTTGGCCTGCTTAATCCTCTCAAATTCATCAACCAGCTTCTTTTTCTCCTATATTTGACAAAACCTGATGTTAAATACACTATATTGACAGAAATATATATATATATATATATACTAAACGCAAAAGAAAATGATTTATAAAAAGTCCTTGGACATCAATCCACGGATCTGAACCAATGCTCTCCCACTGAACAATCAAAGGCACTGACCCCAAATGCCCACCTCCAAAAAGGGGAGGGAAAGCAAAAGGGAGGGGGTAAGTTATCTTTCCTAGGGATTAGAACCATGGTGGAACTGGAGGTTGATAGGGAAGTATCACCATCGATCCAATCCAACTTGCTCACACCCCATGATACCTTCATACTCCTACAGAACAGCCACATCTATTTCAATCTAGATTCAGTGTTCAATAACTCATCCATTGTGTCTTTTCTGTATCTGTGTATCCATTATGTGGGGTGATAAACCAGAAGATCCAAAGCATTAATTGGATCAGTACCTACTTGCTTCCCTGATCAACATTAGGTCCACATCACATATTGAATTGAAATTATCCCTGAATAGTTGGAGCCATTCAAAGCCCCAATACTTGAACTAATGTCTAGAAAAGGGGATTATCCTACACTAGGGAGTTTATGCTAAAAAATCACCACAGGTAGGGATGGCAATTTAACACGCCCCCAACCCCATCAGGTCGGATATAGGGATTGCCTTGGTGGGGCAGAGACGGAGATGGAAATTAATAGGGATCCCCAACCAGGGACGGGGTTGGGGATGGGGAGTAAAGTCCCCACCCCGCCTTGACCCCAATTAAAATATTTAAAATATTTTTTATATTATATATATAAATATATTATTTTATTCATATTAAATATATATTATATATATGATATTATTTATATTATAATATATATATATATATCAAAATATATTTAAAATATTTTTTATATTATATATATAAATATATTATTTTATTCATATTAAATATATATTATATATATGATATTATTTATATTATAATATATATATATATATCAAAATATATTTAAAATATTTTTTATATTTTAAAATTTTCTCTATTTTAAGTAAATTTATTTAATGTTGATAAAAGAATATGGGGATTCAGGTCCCATGGGGAACTTGTCTCCAACTCTCCGTCGGGGATCGGGGATGGAGGATTAACTTTTATCCCTACATTGTTGCCAAACATCAAACAATGTTTCAGTTTCCAATCTAATACAAATTCATTACAAGACACATTAAATAGTTGTTGGATCAATGAGTTTGATAGATCCATATTCTAGTTCTTCCTAACATTAAAATCATTTAGAAGATATAGAATATTTATTTCTAATTTTTGGATTTTTGCTAAAAAATAAAAAAAAAAATCATTTTTGACAAATTATTGTTAGATCAATGAGCATAATAGATCACTGATAGATCCATCTTATAGAAAATACAAAAAATTTGGTGTATCATCTTATAGATCCATCTAACAAGTAGGGCCATCAACAGACACCGAACGTCCAAAAGCCAATGCAGTTATCTTGGATCCAGATGATCCCATTTACATAATTGGATCATGTTTGGATTTAACCCCATCCAATGTAATTAAAACCCAAGTCCAATTATTTTATAACACACATTGATTTAATTAAAAATATATATATAAATTATAAATACATATATACAATGGGTGAGGAGGGAGGCCTATGCTATGGCTGATTCATTAGCTAAGCAAGGGGTAACTAGGGATCAATTATAAATACATACACACAAATGCTAGCATTGATTGTGCAAGGATACAAAAAGCATAGAAGTACCTAACGTGCAGGCATTGTAATGTTAGCCCTTGTATCCTTTCTACAAATAGATCAAAAGAATAAGAATAAAGAAAAGCCAGATCAAATGAAGATAAATTACCATCTCAACTCTCTGAGCAAGATCAGACATTGCCTTCTCATTCTTCAAACGTCTTACTTTTTCTTTCCGGTTGTCTTCCCTCTCCTTCCGCAACTCCTCTCGTTCCCTCTCAAGAGTTTTCTCCAGTATCTGTGAAAAAGTTTTACCACAGGTGAAAGGGAGTAGTTGACTCCATTTTTTTTGTTTTCTTTTGTTTCTTGTCTTCATATTATAGTCCATTTATGGTGGGAAGGGGAGAGATCAAAGGACAAACCTGTATCCGAGTGTCCTTCTCCTTCTCCTTTTCTTTCAAGGCTTGTTCATTTGTAGCATCCCCTATTGGCCTCTTTCCTGTAATGTAAAACCTACCAATTAAAGAATTACCAGATTTAAAATCTGTTTACCACGCAACTAAAAGCAGAAAATGTAACCTGATCTAGAATCTTCTAACTGTTTGGAAAGAGCTAGTTTCTCTTTGCTCAGGTCATCTTTTTCCTTTGCCACGCTCTCAATTTTCTTCTGCAGCAAGGAAATGAAAAGTCTAAGTGAATGTACATCTATCCAATGGATAAGCAATATCATTGTTTCACAAGAAATCAGAAAAAATTATTAGAATAGCTACAAGATCAGTAAAATCTTTACATCATCCAACAAAAAGAACATAGAAATTAATTAAGAAGGAAATAGATATGGAATTTCACAACCTTATGGAGAAGTACTAGCTTCTTTTGCTTATCTACATCTGCTTTGAGTGTATCCTACATATGATGCACAATTATGAGATCATCTAAAGAATGCACAGAAGTTAAATTTCGCAAACTGAAACATAAATAATAAAAAAGTGGAAAAAGAAAAAAATGCATCAAATACCTCAACTTGACGAGCATCATTTAGCCTTTTCTCCATTTTACTTAGCTCCAACTGACAGTTTGCAAGGTCCTGCTCCAAACGAGATATCATATCTTGCTTCTCAGAAACAAGTGTCTTAGTTTCTGCCATCTCAGCTTCTTTCTCTCTCAATTTTATCTGGTACAGAACATGCATTAAATATTTAAAAAAAAAAGAAAAATGGAAAACCAACCAAACAAAAAATAAGCCAAATTATTAACAAATCCTCCATTTATGCTGTCAAGTTGCATTTGAATGAACTTATCAATAGGAGAATGAATGATTCCTGTATCAGTTCATTGGAGATAGCTTTTTGTTTCCCAACCAATTCTAAATCTCAACATATACATCTCTATTTTACACTAAAATTGAAGTATTGGACACAATATGACACTTGTAATAATGATATCAATTAAAGCCACTTCTTTCTTTTTCTGCAAATATTATTGCATTCCAATAATACTGTCCTTCCACGTCTACACCACCACAATTTTTGTACATTTCCACATTACTCTACCTTTTTTTTTTGATAAATGAATAAAGTTGTTATTAATAGAGAATCAGTGAGCTTACCAACAGCCTAAGAAGAGGCATGAGATGCAACCTCCTCTTTAAAGTTGAAAGCCAAAAACTCACACTAAAATAAAAATCAGATTACAAAGTAGCCCAGAACAAAGAAACCCTTGAGACCCCTTCTTTAGCAAGAAAATCAGCCAAAACATTTGCTGATCTGCTAACCCACTGAAAGTTAACTGCCATGTTTCTTGTAAGCCATTTAACCCCTCTTAGGACATCCCTATAAACCCAATTAACAGTACCTGGGTTTGCCAACCAACCCACAACCATCTTTGGGTCTCCCTCAATTACCAAATTCTCCACTCGGAGTTGGTTGGCAAGCTGTATTCCTTGTACTGCTGCCAGTATCTCTGCCCTTGTAGAATCTCCATCTCCCACTAGTCCTGAGTATAAGGAAAGAATATTTCTATCCTTATCTCTCAAAACCCCTCCTAAGCCCGAGGGTCCTAGGTTCCCTTGACTACTCCCATCAAAGTTCAATTTTACAACACCCTCCAGAGGGGGTAGCCAGCTAGCTTGTATTCTAATCTTTTGAGAAGATGTGGAAGCCACTGCTGCCCAGTTTCTCCTGAGATCATCCTGGGAATAATTCTCAAAAAGCGCTGAAGTTTTCATCCAAAGGGTTGCCCTTGTCAAGATACACTCTTTTACTTCAGAGATACCTCTTTCCTTTCCTTGAAAAATTCTGGCATTTCTTTTATTCCAAATAGCCCATAACAGAGCTGGCTCTAGCACATTTCCACATTATTTTCCCCCTCTTCGTGGGCCAACCAAAGATAGACGGATCAAAGAGCATATTCACATTGGATGGCAAGTTCTGCATGCATCCAAACAACAAGAAAAGCCAAATCCAAATAGCTGCAGCAAAGGAGCAAGATATCATCAGATGGTAACAGTTCTCGCTCTGCATTTCACAAAGAGTGCACCAGTTTGGGGACAAACACATATAAGGTTTCTTTTATTGCAAGTTATGCAAAGTATTTAATCTTACCATGGTAAATGTTAGTGCTATTTATTGATAAAAAAAAATGTTAGTGCTATTCAGTCAAACTGAGAAAAGAGAAAGAAAAGAGAGAAGAAGAAGAAGAAGAAGAAGAAGAAGAATAGTGTCGAACTGAGAAGACAGAGTCTAACCCAGTCGACCTTATACTTAAAATTGACAAATAATTATACAAAGACAGAAATGCCCCTGCATATGTAGGAGGCATACAACTAACACATTACTCAGATGGAAAAGACTAAAATACCCTTCTTTAGTCGACTCTAACACTCCCCCTCAAGCTGGAGAGTATATATCATATAATCCCAGCTTGTTACATATATAGCTCACTCTTCCCGAACTCAACCCTTTTGTGAACAGATCTGCCCATTGATCACCTGTTCTCACATGCTCAATGCTTATCTCACCATTGATGACCTTTTCCCTTACAAAATGGCAATCTACCTCTATGTGTTTAGTTCTCTCGTGAAAAACTGGGTTAGATGAGATGTGAATTGTAGCCTGGTTGTCAAAGTATAGTTTCATGGGTTTGCTTATTGAGAACCCGATTTCCTGCAATAGATTCTTCAACCACACTAGTTCACATGTAGTGTGTGCCATGGCCCTGTATTTTGCTTCTGCATTGCTCCTTGCTACAACAGTCTGCTTCTTTCTCTTCCATGTCACTAGATTTCCTCCAAGAAAGGTGCAATAACCTGTAGTGGATCTTCTGTCTAATACAAAGCCAACCCAGACTGCGCCGATGTATCCAACTATTTCAAGATCACCTCCTGGCTTGTATAGTAACCCACGACCTGGAGCCCCCTTCAAATACCGCACAATCCTAAGAACTACATCCCAGTGAGGCACCCAAGGACTTTGCATAAACTGGCTTACCACACTGACAGCAAATGAGATATCAGGCCTAGTGATAGTTAGATAATTCAGTTTTCTCACTAGCCTTCTATACCTTCCAGGGTTATCAAACAATTCACCTGTGTCACTTCCCAACTTCACATTAAGTTCCATGGGAGTTTCAGCTGGTTTAGCACCTAGTAACCTTGTTTCTTCCAACAGGTCAAGAACATATTTCCGCTAACAGAGGTTTATGCCTTGCTTTGACCTAGCAACTTCTATACCCAGGAAATATTTCAACTTCCCAAGATCTTTTGTCTAAAAGTGATCTTGTAGGAATGTCTTCAATCTATCAATCCCAACTCTATCACTGCTAGTTATGACTATGTCATCCACATTCACTACTAGCAAGATCTTCCCAACCACAGAGTCATAGCTAAATACTGAATGGTCAACTTGACATTGTCTCATTCCAAACTCCTTCACCACTTCACTAAATTTGCCAAACCAAGCACGGGGAGATTGTTTAAGCCCATAGGTCGCCTTCTTGAGGTTACACACCATATTATCCTCCCCCTGAGCAACAAACCCTGGTGGTTGCTCCATGTACACTTCCTCTAGAAGATCACCATGGAGAAAGGCATTTTTAATATCAAGCTGAAATAGAGCCCAATCATGCATGACATCTAAGGAAATCAACACACGTACTGAGCCAATCTTTGTAACTAGAGAAAAGGTTTCAACATAGTCTACACCATAAAGTTGAGAGTACCCTTTTGCAACTAAACAGGCTTTCAGGCGTTCAACTCTCCCATCTAGTAAATACTTAACAGTATACACCCACATACAACCAACAACATGCTTACCTGGGGAAAGATTGGTGAGTTCCCATGTATGATTGTGATGAAGAGCAAAGAGTTCCTCTTCCATAGCTTTTCGCAACCCTGGCGAGGTAAGAGCCTCCTGAACATCCTTACGTGTGGATACAGAGGACAACAGGGTAATAAACTCACGATGGGAAGCAGGAAGGTGAGATACAAAAACATAATTGAATATGAGGTGTAACATGCAACTACATTTACCTTTCCACAATGCAATAGGAAGGTCAAGATCAAAAGGCAATTCGATTGTGGACGGAGCTAGATCAGCCGTCGAAGTAGAAGGGGGAGGTGCTGGCCTCTGTTAGTACCGGGATGGAATTAGCAACCGGAAGAGGAAGAGGAACCTCTGTAGGAGAAGGAGGGATATCAGAAGCAGAGAAGTATGGCACCGACTCAAAAAAAGTAACATCAAGACAAACAAAGGATTTCCAAGTAATAGGGTTGTAGCATTTATACCCTTTCTGGGTCCTAGAGTAGAAGGAAAATACATTTAATGGAGTGAGCATCCAACTTGTCTAGCCCAGGACCAAGATTCTGAACAAAGCACACACCCGAAGATCATGGGAGTTAGGGGATATGGAGACAAAATGGGAAATAAGATAGAGAATGGAGAACAACCATCAAGAATGAATGAGGGCAAGCGATTAATGAGAAAACAAGCAGTAGGGACTGCACCACTCCAGAAACGTTTAGGAACATTCATATGATGAAGAAGAGACCGAGCTGTTTCAAGTAGATGTCCGTTCTACCTCTCAGCCACCCCATTTTGCTGAGGGGTGTGGGCACAAAATGTCTAATGAATAATACCTTTTTTTATGTCAACACCTAAACAAAACAATGTGAGTTGGCAACCAGCACACTCATTCATTTTCTCTCAAACCTATGTCTCGTTACTCTCTTCCCTCTCTTTCTCTTCTTTTTCCTTGCAGGTCGATCTCTGATATGCATCTTAGGAGAACTCATCCCTAAAAGCAAGCTGTTAGAGGGAGGGAACCCAAGCACATATATACCACACAACAGTATCCCATACTACCGATGTGGGATATCTCACATTAGCATCCCATACTACCAACGTGGGACAAAGGGATCGAAACATTCCACCACGCTCTGCAGTCCTGGCGCCCACGCAGGCTAGCTTTGCACTAGTCCACCTAGTCTCGGCCGAACACTGCAAATACCGACATCACCACCTGCACCGCACGATTGAAACTGGGAGGCATGGTGTAGGCTCTGATACCATTTGACATGTGTCTTAGGAGAACTCACCCCTAAAAGCTAGTTGTTAGAGGGAGGGAACCCAAGCACATATATACCACACATGACACAACAGTACCAGATACTACTGATGTGGGATATCTCACATTAGCATCCCATACTACCAACGTGGGACAAAGGGATCGTAACAATCTCACACGCAAACTACAAAACCAAAGGTGTGAAGAAGGTATAACAAAATCAGACAAGGGTTTATCTTTAAAGTTAGAGAGAAGGAAACACAACCTTTCCCATTCCTTTTCAAATCTTAGAGGTTTTCATTGGTAAAAACAATTCAGTCCACTATTTTCTTTCCATGGAAAAAGGTGCCCTGGTTTAAAAAGATAAAGGAAGGGCATAATCGACTTCATACTGAACGGCAGGACATTGGAAATAATTTTGTACAGCCTTCTAACAAGGGTTATGGGCCTAAAATCCTAAGGATGGATAGTCAAATCATAAACACCAAGTAATCATCCAACATGATTATCAACCACTTTGAGCACATCTTTGTCCTAGAAGATGGGTATATACCCTGAGAATCCTTCTGATGGCTTGAAAATCCAATCGCCCCTGCTGTCTACCCACATCTCAACAGTCAAATTTGATCCCAAGTTGCCTTTTCCATTTCTTGTAGAATTGCTAACTCAGGTCTCCGTCTGTTTCATACAACTTTCACTTATGCTACCCACACACAACAAGGACAAAGCTGGACATAGTATCGGATACAGAATTTCAACTAAAAAGTTAAGCATCTGACACAATACTACACCCTTGTATGGGTATCTGAGTAACTTAGGCTTTCATTATTATTCCTTTCTCAGGAGTCCTGAGGCTTTTAACAACATTACCAAAAGCTCCACTGAAACCTTTCATCCTTGTCCAAACCATTCCACATCCAAAGGCTAGATCTTCAGAAATCCAGCATAAAACAAAATATCATGTTTAATTAGGAACTATTATTATCTATTTTTTAAACTTCATAAAAATAAGAAAACGGTGCAGGATGAGAAACTAAAATTACCTGCATCTGCTGAGAAACATCTTTCATGCGATCATATTCCTCTGGATCAATATTTTTGCACCTTTCAAGCAACTTCACACACCAAAGTCAGATTGCTAAAATGATTAAAGCATGGAATAAAGTGCATATTCACTAGCCAATACCTCTGCAATCCTATTTTCCAAGTGTTCTTTCTCCATCTTTTGCATCATAATTTCTTTCTGACAAGCATCCACCTCAATCTGTTTCTCCCTTAAAAGAGTTTCTAGATGATCTATCTCACTCCGCCCCTTCTGAGCTACTTCACGCAATTTCTACAAAGAGAACCAAAGATCCCTTAAGTATCCCTAACCTTCATGAAACTTGCCTCTTCTATTAAGAAATCAAATCAAAGTAACCATACTATACATTTAGACATAATAAATAAGTCCAACCACAAGGATTTGCACAAGCCAAACCTGGCATTCCTCGAAATTGTGTTTGTTTTCCTCCCGAAGTTGCATGTTGCTTTCACGAAGCAAGTTCATTTCTCTGACCTACAAAATTAAAAAGTCCAAAAATATAAGCCATGCTAAGAATCAATGAAGTTCTCAAAAGAAGTTATTTTTAACCTGCATTTCATTAACATATGTATATGAACAAACAAAAAAGATCCCCATGCAAACAAAAAAACAGGCCTATAAAATCACCTGCATCTGTAAGGATTTAAATTCTTCATCTGTGAACAGTAGCGCTCTAGAATTTGTACGTTCTGCATGAAGCAATGCTTGAGCTGTCTCAGATGCCTTCATAGCAGTCTCAAGCTACAGAGACATTACATCAGGTTTCAGTAAACAAAAAGTAAATTAAGGGATTTACAGCAAAACAATGACCACTACAAAATTACACCATGTGTGTTTAATCAATTTCAAATAAACAAAGATAATATATTGAAGTATTATCACAAGTTCATAATTATAATCAGCGGGATGCTTCTGAACAAGGGACTGCATTCACGCTTAGACTTGAGTTATCTTAAAGATTGACAAGGATTTTCATATTCCCAAGAGATGCACATTGTCCACAATCTTGATCAATAGGAAACTGGAATAGATCCCAATCAATGTTGAGTAATTAACACATTTAGATAAATTAGCATTGTAAGATATCAAGGAAGATTTTAGGGCAATATTTTCTACCTACAGAATAGCTCCTGGACTAATTAGATGTGAATTACATAGAACATAAAATACCCTTAAAATCAAATGAAAAAATAGCATACCTGTGACTGTAAGCGCAGTTTCTCCTGCTTGAGCAATGAAATCTCTGTCTCTGCCTGTAGAACATTAAAAATTAGACTGTATTCTTTACAAAGTAACTTTATACAATTATAGTGAAAGGGTAAACTCACAATTTCTTTGGATCGCCGAAGATAATGAATCACATTTTGCAGATCACCATCAGCTTTTGAATCTTCTCTTGTGCTTCCAGATGGAACACTAATAGAACCACGCTCCTTCTCAGCCGATTTAATATGCAAGGCCTCCAAGCGACCATGCAATATATTGTTCTAAAGAAGCAGACAGAAACCAATTAAAAATAAAAATAAAATCCTTCAAAAGCACAAGAAGGAACTATATAAACTCTAACAAAATGTTTTGCAATAGACAAAAAGGTCTGGTAGGAGAGACGTCAAGGATGTTGCTCATAGTATTAGACAAAAGGGCAACCCAGAGTATGAGGCTCCCACCAATGCAGGATCTGGGGAGGGAAAGATGTACACAGCCTTACCCCTGCTGCACATACAGAGACACTGTTTCCGAGATTTGAACCCCGGTCACCCAGGTCGCAATGAAGCAACCCAACCGTTGCGGCAAGGCCCACCCTCATTGATTGAAATGAAAAAACAAAACAAAACACTACAATAAAAACATAGAAGCAGAATCAAAAGGAAATTTTATAAGACATGTAAAAAGCATAGCCAAATGCACAAGGCTCCCACCAATGCAGGTTCAGGGGAGGGAAAGATGCATGCAGCCTTACCCCTGCCTGCAGATACACAGAGAGGTTGTTTCCAAGATTTGAACCCTAATAACCCAGGTTGCAATGGAGCAACCAAACAATTGCGCCAAGGCCCACCCTCAGGAAACAGAAATATTGAGAAAACAATAAGGTCAAAATGCGCATATAAAAATGGATTAGTGACGCTACTAGGAAGGATAGATCTTGAAATGAATCCAGCCATCATTTATAAGTAGCACTTATAGATAAAAAGATGAGATAAATGAGAAGATCTGCCCACAAGCAAAGAAGAACAATAACCAATAAGGAGTGACCTGGAGAAAATACAAAGATCCACATGAGAATAGGGAAGGCCAATGGGACTGTGTATTAATTGAAAAAAGATTTGACAGAAGATTCACATTTGAGGAAGGAACTCAACTGTAATAAGTGCATGAAATCAACAAGCTTTTGATAATGAAGCAAATTCTTTTAAACATGATTGCAAAGTCCATGTTCACTGAGTTGGAAAAAAGAGATAGAGAAACTAGAGTTGTGAAAATAGACTAAGGTTATGAGCAGTGTTTTAAAAGGCATGGGAGGCTCATGCCTGGAGATGCGCCTACAGGCAAGGCACCCCCAAAACGCCCCGAGACATTGACACCTGAGACATGGCACCGGCATTGACACCTCTGAGGTGTGGTGCTCCTCCAGGCAAGGCACCTCCAAAACATCCTGAGGCATATGCCAGAGGCATTGACACCTCTGAGGCATGGCACCCATCCAGACGAGGCACCTCAAAAACACCCTGAGAAATATGCCAGTCATTGACACCTCTGAGGCATACACCTCAAGTGCAAGAGGCACACACCTCATGCACTTTTTTCATGAGGCATTCTAGAGTGTATGCCACATGTGCCTCACGCAGACCTCATACAAAAAGACAAAAAAAAGGAAAAAAAAGGAAAAAAGGAAAGAAAAAAAGGAAAGGAAAAGAAAGGGAAGGGAAGGGAAAGAAAAACATTGGTTTGAAGATGGTTGGTAAAGAGAAACAACTCCATAACGTGAGAATGAATATTGAGATGGTTGATAAGCAGAATGTAGAGTGGATCCATTATGATAAGGTGGAGAAGGGTGTGAATGGCAAGATGGAGGTATCAGGAACAAAGGTGGAGAAGGAGAAGACTAGCATTTTGAGGGGATTGGGGAGAGGTATGAAATTATTGGATCTGTTGGTGGCTGGAGTAGATGTGTCAGGAATAGGGATGGCAGTCAAGAAGGGAATCATTTATTGGTAGTTTTTCACTTGTGCGATCAAAGTGGTGGGGCTTCAGATAGGTCTTACTCTCTAACTACTTGTGGCAAGGAAATAGTTTCAGGTGGATTGCCTTTAGTGTGAAATGTAAAGGTTTGGGGTTGGCAGAGTTTGCCTACATATATTGCCTCTCTTTGTGATGAAGGCTTTGTTTCCTTTCTCTGTTTGCTTACGTAGCATCACTAGTTTGCATACTGCATATATTTGTTTACCAAATTTCAGTTGTATCATCAAAAAAAACAAAAAAGATTAACCTTGGGACTACCATAAATGTTCTGAAGGCCCAATGCTATCATTACAGCATTAGTTTTGGTTATCATAGTAGTGCTTTAACATTGATTATCTACTCAAGCAACAACAGAATGGTCATGCAGATTAAGGAGGGACAAACAGGAAATACTAGATAGCTTTTTTAACTTGAGCAGCTCACATTTTTTCTCAGTGAAGTAGAAATAAATATAAAAACTATTATTTCAGTTTCTCAACAGTTGGCCCCTAATCGCCTGCCAAGGAAGTTGTATTACCACGCCAAAGCATGCAAAAATTTTAGTATGCAATTATTTTCTCATGATTTGGGGAATGGATCAGGCGAGGGACTACCTAAACAAAGCTATTTAACCATATGTAACAGGTAAAAATGGATGGACTAAACAGAACAGCATCATCAAACCAGTATATCAGCAATGTTGAGCAACCTGTTCATTAATTTCATTGTACTTTCTCTCAGCTTCATTCTTCGATTTTTCCAACAATGACTTCTCTCCTTCCCATTTTGCTTTTAGTATGTCCTGCATGATACCCAAACCATCAGCAATGACATAAAAGCAAATTCAATCTGTTTAAATAATAAAGCAAAGCCTGAAACTTCATCCACAGTAAATGCAAGGAGTCCCACTATGATGATAATTAGGAATATTCAACCATGTGTTATTAATCATTAAAGTTTGCTCGAAATCCTGCTCAATGAACATCAGGCGTGCATGTGGTGAGTTACTGCAATGGAAGCCCCATGGGCTATGGACTGATTCTGCTGTTGATCCAAGGCTTGGTTCTTGTTAATCATAAAAGTTTTCTCAAAATCCTACTCAATCAACATCAGGTATGCATGTGGTGAGTTACTGCAATGGAAGCCCTATGGGCTATGGACTGATTCTGCTTTTGATCCAAGGCTTGGTTCTCTTCTGGGCTGTGCACCTGTGCCTTGACAACTCACCAAGGTTTTAGTTAAATGCTGAATAATCTTCTCAAGTTGCATCCTCTAATGCAATTATTTGCTACATATCATTAGTTTCCCCATCTAATTCTTTTTTCTTCTACTATTAATTAACATTAAATTATACTGACATTTCACCTTCTAAATTCCACCACCCAATACATAAGCACATGTTTTCTCTTACCTTTATTTCTCATTTTAACATAACCATTAAAAATAAACTACCATTTTGAGTAGTCTAGTCATACCTTCTCCTAGAGCAAAGTTACAGGCATTATATATCAATAGAATCCAAGTACGATTATCTTATTTAAGAAAAAACACAATAAATAGATTCCACACCATCCCATTACCTCAAAACCATTTGGAAACTAGGAGGTCACACAATAAAACAGACAAACTCCAATTTCTGCTGAGACATCAACCATGCCAACTAAATGGAACCGCTGGATGATAACTGCACTTGTTAAGACACAGTTGTCTCTTTATATGAAGTGGTTACTTATTTTTAACATTGTAATCTTAATCTTCAACTTAAGTCTTAGGGATGCAAAACTTCCCTAAAGATATAAAACTGACACTCAACCAATACTAGTGTTGACAAACATGATATATCCTTTCACTTGTGACTAAAGATAACTCAAACTTATTTTCCCCAACTAAGCACATAAAATACATTAAAAAAAGATCAAAACATTAGCACATTCTAAGCAGGTCATAATACAATTGGCATATAAACACAAATTACATTTTCACTTTTCTGAGAATCAGCAAATTTGCGTAGCTCTGCAGCTTCTTCCTGCAGGACTGCCAATGCTTGAGAAGCTTTTGTCAACTCTTGAATTGTCTCAGACTGAAGTATAACCTGAAGAATATGGAAAGCATAACTAAATCAACAAAATTTTCAACTGAAAGACCATATCTTCCGAGATAGTAAGAAGCCAAAGCACACTAGGACAGACCAGCACAGCAAAATATGAATTTAAAACCAACAAATATGACAAAATCCCTTAATTCTTGTGTTACAGCTCAAGCATCATCATCATCCAAAACTTATCCCCACTATATGGGGCCTCCTTTTCCTCATTATTGATCAAACGCATTGTGTATTTCAACATATATAGACAAAGAAGCAGATTGTCGGAATTGACTCAAGTATACTATCACCATGTACAAATTTAAAAAAAAAAAAAAAAATTATGATGATTTTAATGAAATATGGGAAAGTTTGCGATGATATTCTAGCACCTTGAACCTTTAATGTATAAACTACCAATCAATGAAATTTGTGAAACCACTGACATATTGACAATATACCAGAAATATCAGGAAAAAAATAATTCTTGAAAAAGTTCTTATCATCCCTAGAAAAATGGAGAGACTTCAAGGAAAATTTTCCAAATCCTGACAATATTGCGAAACTGATTCCAGCTACATTGTCATTTGAGGTATCATTTCTCACAAAGCATGCTACTGTTCCTCTCTTTCTAGTCAGGTCAATAACATAGTTGTCAAGGCAACGCCTAGGTGACAAGGCGCCCTTGGAGGCTCGCCATGCCCAGTAATGACTTCAAAATCTGAACCAATAACTTCAAAATCTTCTTCTTTTCCCATAAGAAAAATAGGGGTTCAGCCCCTATATTTTTTTGAATTTTCTTTCCTTTCTTCTTTTTCTTCTCATAAATATGTTGCTTTTCTAGACATAAACATGAAGTTTATAATTTTCTTATGAAAATTTTGGATAGTTATTAAAGAAAATTGGTTATGGAACCTAGGGAACTACCCTAGGATATGTGATTTTTACTTAAAAAAATCCATCGCCTAGGCGACTAGGCAACAAGGCGCCCCTCTGTCACCTAGCCTCGCCTTGGCACCTTGAAAACTGTGGTCAATAATCACCACAAAGAATTGTGTATCACATCACATCCATTTAGCTAGTCCATTTTCATGCATGGACTCCTTGCCATCTTGGCCTTATTTGTGGTCTAGATATTATAGTTCTCAAATGGCATGGCTATAATTTAGTTAAAGACAAATGTAAAATGTATGCATTTTCCAATACTTCTTATGGAAATAAAAGCTCAACTTGATTATACTATTTTTGCACCACATTCAATGTCTATTCTATGATTCTTTTTGCTAATCATGGTACATGACATCTGATGTGGGTATACTTGGCAGGTCTCAGATCACGCCACGTGGCATCGGCCAGATGCAATTCTGGCCGCACATCTCTAACTGCTTCCAACCACTCAAAGGCAAGCTCAGCTATTAAAGGGGGTTCCCATCCCCAAGGTAAACTCACTTTTTCTCTCTTGCACTCAGAATCCCAAGAGATCTCTCCTTAGCTATTAAGGACTAAGCTCTAAGCCCTCGTCTCAAGCCTGGTCCGACCCCTCTTTGGCACTTGGCTAACTTGACCGTCGAAGTCTTCGTCCCAGGGATAACACCCGGGGCCTCTGACATGTACTCTTCTCCTGCTTACAGGTCGGACCCACTGGCCTCGGACACCAACAAAATTCCCTTGTTGCCCTCAACCTCAACTTTGGCAACAACATCATATATACATAACCCATGAAAAATGACATCTTTCAATTTCTTTAAATACATGTTCCAAAACCTTACCAAAATGATATAAAGCTCTTTGTATGGCATCTTGTAAACCATAAGCCTTCTACCAGTTTGGTTGGAAAAATACATCACTTTATTCCTTACCCTAATTATTAGACAAAAAAAAATCCTTTCCCTAACAGTCCCTTATCTTACTTCACGGAACATTTGGTATGCCTACTTTGCTGACCTCCTAAACTCAAAGATTAACAATCTTGATATGCAACATACGAAGTTTGTTTTTCTTGGATATTCAAGGACACAAGAAGGTTATAAATGTTTTAATCCTCTATCACATCGCCATCAACAATTCCATATTTTGCCAACTCTGCATGTAACCATTCATCTAGTATACCTCTACCCTTTCGGATTTTTTATAATATCTCTTCAGGCTTGCTTGTAAAAACATCACATAAGCTCACTTGTTCAATCTTCATATGCTTCAACAATTGATTTTCCAAACCAAGTTTCGTAGTATCCGAAACAATACGATATGCCCAATACACCTCGATTCATTGTGATTTTGAACCTTGGTCCTAACATAGAGGTGGCTCCTACTAATCCTGATCTCTCGATTGTTCCTTAGAAAGTGTAGTTGCACCTCTCATCCTATTGATCACTTTGTCTCATATGCTACTTAATCTCCTACTATTCATCAATGTTTTAAAATGCTGAGGCGTGATGCGAGGCGTTCCACTACCTGGAGGCGTGAGGTATAACTCAGAATGTAAGAGGCGTAAGACTGCTTAAGAGGAGGGTGATGAGAAGGAAGGAGGAAGAAAAATATCAATTTTCTTTATTTTTAATAAAAATCTTTTATATTAAGAAAAATGAAGATGCAAAGCACTAGATAAAAAACAATACAATTTGGAATCAAAAAATTGAGTCGAGAAATTAACAGAACTAAAGACTCAAATATAGGAACCAAAATCATTGAATATTGACCAAATTCAATTAAAAAAAATGTTCAAAATATTTGAAAAAAAAAACATCTAAAACCATAGAAAACTAAGATTTAAATCCAAAAGATCTAGAAAATTTTGATCAAGGCATATCACAGACTAGAAACAAAGAGGTTACGCAGGATCAGTTAAGGCCTCTAGAAACTCTTCCTTGCCCACCAAGCCAGCAAATCTAAACATGTAGCTCATATGTGAATCTTATGTTTGCATGGGTAACCCAACAATTAGGAGTGATCATTTATAGCCAACATGGAAATTGCTGGGCTTGGAACCGGGTTTTGTGTCCAGGACCAGCCCAAATGCTATAATAGCATGCATAGTCAATGAACAAAAGCAAATCATGAAAGCAAAAGATAGATCTAAGACAGAATGAGAAAAGTAAAGGATCACCACACTAGTTAGTAGGAGAAAAAATGTGACCTCACTAGATTGAGCAAGATCTAGTGACAAAGGATCTCATGGGTCGAGGATAATATGACCTCATTGATATTAAGTTATATTACCAATAACAGGCCAAGATAAACTTTGGTGGTCTTGGGTTCATGTAGGCAAACAAACAATTTGGTGTTCATGCTTGGATTAGATGAGTCATGAATAAGCCAAGTTGGAAAAATGAAAAGGAAGTTTGAACTGATGGGAAGCCGAAGAAGTTTTTCATTTGGTGAGTAGATGGAAGTCTGAACTGATTATTGAAGCGAAGAAATTTTTATTTGAGAGCGGAAGGGCCAGAGGAAAGAACCTGTTAAAAATTAGGGAGGATAGGAAGGCCACGATACTATTGTTTGAGGAAGCAGTGGCATGGTTAAAGGGCTTTATTGGTGGTGTTATACAATCGGTTAGGACAATAGGATGGAAAAATGTCTTCGAACTGGGAAAGAAGAGGTATGAAGTGGAACTGAGATGCATTGGTAAAGGCTGGTTCATCAGGGTCACAGAATATTTCAACGCAAGAAGACAATTGCTTTGCTTACCAGAAGGGAAGAAGGAACAAGGTTGGATGGCCTTTGCGGAGGGGTTGCAACAGTTTCTTGTCTCTGTCGATGTGGTGTTGGAGCAAGAATAAAGTTCAGCACCCATTAAAACCTGGAGAAGCCGTTGAAGAAGAGCCCATGCAGTGATGGTGAACTTATTTCGAGCTCTAATACAGGGGTGAAGCTGTGGTTTGAGGGTGAGAAAGAAGAYTGGGAGTGGAGAATGGTGATCTCAGCGAGCAAAGCAATACAAGATTGGAGGAAGGTCCTAAACTCAGTGGTGCACAACTTGAAGCTGGAGTCCGAGGTTGCTCTGAAACCATTCTCAGACAGGAAGGCAGTGTTGAGAATTGACGATGAAAAAATCAGGGGATTTACATCTATTGAATGTGAAGAAGGTTTGATTCAGATTCAAAACTGGAAATCATTGTGTAATGAGATGGAACATGTCTGTGGAGGTTTCCTGCTCAAATTAGTAGGTCTTCCCTTCCATCTCTGCAGTGAAGCAAATCTGGGAAATATTGTGAAGCTGCTAGGCAGAGAAATGGAGGAAGTCCATCTGCAAGATTTTCATGCCGCTGTGGTTATGATGGTCAGGGTGAGACCGGAATCGCTCCCAAGAACAATAGAGGTTCTTGCTGAAGGTACATCGTTTAAAGTATGGTTGGTTTCAGAGGTGGAGGCAGAGCTGTGGGGACGAAGACCCAAGGTAGAAGACGATGCTGACATGGAGGGTTGGATTACTAGGGGCCTACAGCTAGAGGGTAAGACTGAACATAGGGGGCAGCTTAGAAAGGAAGCTGAAAAGTCGGTGGGAGAGAACCAAATGCCACGAAATCTATTAAAAGAAATAAATTCAAAATTTTTTGAATTAGCTGGTAATTCGAAGGGACAAGACACCTTCGCTGACGTGGTTAAGAAAGGGAGATTTCTGCGGGCCGGGTCATCTGAACCGGTGGGTGGACCGATTGGCTCAACCAGAAGGGGGAATCCCTACCCACGTGATTGTTTAAGTGAGCACGTGGGTCGGGGGAGATGGTTGAGGACTATAGACGATAGACATCGTCTATCTTCTTCTTCGAAAATTTTGGACGGGGGCGCTGTAGGTGATCTCAGGCAGTATATGGTCCAAATGATTACAGAGAGAGAAGGAAGTTGTGAGAAGAACTGGCTGATATAAGGGGACTATGGGAAGGGCTTTGGTGTCTTGGAGGTGACTTTAATGTTATAAGATTCCTGGAAGAGAAAAATAGTCCGAGGCGGAAATCGACCTTGAGTATGAGGAAATTCAATCAATTTGTGGATGTTTACAAGCTTAAAGAGATCCCACTATCACACAACTGTTTTACTTGGTCCAATCTCCGAGTGAACCCGATTTGCTCTAAGCTGAATAGATTTCTATTCTCAAATGATTGGGAAGAACATTGGGGGAATCTAAACTCTAGAGCATATCCAAGGGTGACTTCAGACCATTGGTTTGACAACATGTGGCTAGGACACCCAGGGTTCATAAAGAAAGTTAAAGAGTGGTGGCTAGAAAGCAATCCAACAGTGAAATGGCGTGGAATGAGGTTTCATAAGAAGCTCCAATATCTGAAAGGAAAAATCAAGGAGTGGAATCTGTTAGAGTTTGGGAGATTAGAGGAAAGAAAGCAAGTAGTGACTACACAAATTGAGGACCTGGATGGTAAGGAAGAAAAGGATTGTCTTACAGAAGAAGATAAGGAGCTAAGATGGAATTTGCGTAAATAGTTAGAGGATTATCTTCTTCAGGAGGAAATAAGTTGGAGACAAAAATCAAGGTGTAAATGGATGAAGGAGGGGGATAGGAATACCAAATTTTTTCATGCGATGGCAAGTGGAAGAAGAAGAAGGAATTTTGTATCAAGTCTGGAGATTGAAGGGGTTACAATATCCACCCAAAGAGAAATAGCAGGGGCTTTTGCAAATCACTTTAGGTCATCTTTAGAAAACCCCTAAATAGTAGGGTATGGAATGGCCAACTTTGCAGATAGAGGATAGGGATTGGTTGGAAAGGAAATTTGAAGTGGAAGAGATAAGGGAGGCAGTGTTCTCTATGAATAGATCAAAGGCACCAGGCCCAGATGGTTTTACGATGGCTTTTTATCAAGATTGCTGGGAGATATTAAAGGAAGATCTATGGACTGTGTTTGATGAATTCCACTCTAGAGGGGTGATCAACCTAGGGCTGAACTCCACTTTTATTGCACTGGTTCCTAAGAAGAGGAATGCATGTCACCCAAAGGATTTCAGGCTGATCAGCCTAGTCAACAACCTTTATAAGATTATCACCAAAGTACTGTCCATCAGAATAAGGAAAGTGTTCCCAACAATTATAGCTGATAATCAAGGAGCCTTTGTGAAGGGGAGACAGATAACAGATCAAATTCTGATAGCAAATGAGAGCTTGGAGGAGTTTAAAAGATCCAAGAAAAAAGGGTTGATTTGTAAATTGGATTTAGAAAAGGCTTATGATTTGGTGGATTGGTCTTTCCTGATGGAGGTGATGACCAATTTTGGTTTTGGGGATAATTGGTGTAGATGGGTCTTGGGTTGTATCAGGAACTGCCATTACTCCATACTGGTAAATGGGACAGCGGTCGTTTCTTCCCATCCTTGAAAGGGATTAGGCAATGAGACCCCCTCTCCCCCTTCTTATTTACTTTGGTAGCTGTTCTGGGAAGACTAATTTATAGAGCAAATTCCATGGGCTTAATCAAAGGTTGGAGAGTTGGGAGGGAGATTGTGCCACTCACACATTTGCAATTTGCAAATGACACCATACTCTTTTGTGAAGCAGGGGACCCTAACAGGGTTAGAAATTTGAAGCTCACTATACGACTTTTTGAGCAAATGTCAAACCTTAAAGTGAATTTTGAGAAGAGTTGTATAGTTGGGGTAAATATGGCCGAGGGGGAGATCTCTGAGGCTGCAGACATCTTAGAATGTGCAATAGCAAACTGGCCCCTTAAATACCTTGGTTTTCCATTGGGTGATAACCCTCAGAAAGGTGAGTTTTGGGTTCCGATTGTGGAGAGGTTTGAAAAGAAATTAGCAATGTGGAAAGCAATGCTGGAGGTCATCCACATTAGGATTATACACTGGCTGAAAACCTTGGCTCTGTTCGCAGAATTCTCAGTTGATGAACTGCAAAGAGAGTGGAAGGTGAGAGCAGAACTTGTTCCAATGAGGAAGGCCTCAAATGTTTGTTGGATCCCCCCACCCCATGACTTTGCAAAACTGAACTTTGATGTTAGCATCTTGGGCAATCCAGGGCCATCCGGAATAGGAGTAATAAGAGATGAACAAGGGAAGCTGTTAGCTATGTATTCTGAACCAGTTGGGGTGGGAGATTCTTTGAGAGCTGAGATTCTTGTAGCATTTGAAGGGGTACAAAGAATCAAAGATATGCATATTAATAAGTTGATCATAGAAGGAGATTCTGAAGTGGTGGTAAACTGGCTGAAAGAGGATAGTCTTAGACTTTGGAATTACAGTAACGAAAAGAGGAAATTCAAGTGGCTGACTAAGGACATGGAAATCCAATACAAATGGGTAAAAAGAAGTGCGAACTCTTTGGCAGATGGACTAGCTAGACAAGGGGTGAACAGACATTCTATTTTTTGGGCTGTCTTGTAATTTTTGTTCTTTTGATGCTTAATGGTTGTTCTTGGGAGCTAAGATTGTTTAGCCCCCTTGCCCTGTAATTTTCTCATATTCTTAATATTAATTCAATCCACAGTTATTGATCAAAAAAAAAAAAAACTAAAGGATCACCACACGCCACGAGAAGATTTATTGCACAGAATGAACCTGTCTCTCATAATTGTTCTGAGCAGTGCGCCAACGCTGATGTTCCTTTTCCAAATCTTCCTTCAATGAAGAAATTTGAATTTCCATCCCCACAATTTGGGACCTACCATATAAGAAAAAAATAGGGAAATAAATACTAAATACAACAATCAAAAACAAGAATATGCTGCAATAACACAACAAAAGGAAATAACATAATCTTACATTTTCACAGACATCTCTTCCTTGAGACTGGTCATTTCTGCTAATGCAGAATCCAGAGCCTCTTCTTTCCCTGCAACTGTAGATGCAGCTTCTTTTGACTTCAATATAGAATCACTTTCAAGTTCCGAAATCCTTTCCCTCAGTGAAACAATTTCAGCTTCTAGTGACTTCTTCAACTTATCCGCCTATAAAATTATAGCATCTTAAATGTATTGAAAATGTTGCCAAGATAAAAGATCCAGGCATGTGTCAAAATTAGTTTTCAACGAGCAGCAGGTCAGTGACAGCAGAAGAAGTACCTCAGCCTTAAATTCTTCATGTGCTGATTCCATTTGTTTTAATGCAGCTTCATTCACTTGTGCAATGTTTTTGTACTGTAAATAAAAATTCAGAATAATGATATGAACTTTTCAAAACATTAAATTGCAATCTTATTTGAAATTGTGCACCACCTGTAGCATGTGATCCTTGTTAGCTTGGGCTTCATCTTTCAGTTTTTCTATCTCTTCTTTAGCCTTGTTTATGTCCAGCATAACCTAATTAAGTTTTGATGGGAAAAGATTAGAACTCAATCAGGGCATATATCTTACAGGTAAATGAGAAGCAAATTATTAAAAATTGACTACAAAACATACTTATACATGACCAACAGAAAAAAAAAATACGCATCCATTTAGAGCAGACTGATTATATATTATGCCTGATTCAATGCATTGGTTTAAATCATCTTACTCTTCAGAAATTGAATAACTCATCACAAGTCCAAGGATTTAAAAGGCTAAATATGGAGGCAAGTTAGTTTAGGTGTCAGATCAGATGGGGGAGAAACAAGCCTCAAAATATACATATTATTAAATGTAAAGAGTGTAAATGTGTATATACAATACACGCCTCAAAGTATACATGATCTTTTTGCTGTTTCAAACCCTAAAGACATATCACATATACTATCCACTGAAGTGGAAATTTCAACCTTAAAATGGGGTTTTCAAATGCTAAAGACATATTTTTTTCCTCAAGATTTATCACTTCTTGTTGTTTTCTAATGGTTTTATACTTTTTGCTGCATCAGATTTGGTATTAGAGCTTAGGAAACCAAATATGAACCATGGCAGCTCATGGTAGGGGATGTGGAGGTAGAGGAAACCAGGTTCAACAAGGGGAAATGTTGGAGATAAGATGTATGATTGAAGACTTGTTGCGGGTTATGCAAGCCTTGCAACAACAGGAGCAAGTGGATGCCCATATTGAGGAGGTTTAGGATATCCTGTGGGCGACCAAGTAAAGACTAGGGATTTTATTATACCCCAAGTCGAGTTTGCCTACAACAATTATATAAATAATCTATCAAAAGGACACCTTTTGAAGCAGCTTATGGATACAAACCGCAAGACATTTTAAGCCTTCTTCCCTTACCAAATAAAGCAAAGGAGAGTGCAGAATGTGAGAATTTGCTAATCATATCAAACACATCCATGAAGAGGTCTGGCTACAATAGAAGTTAGCAATGAAACTTATGCTATATCAGAAAATTGGTGGGAGCCTCATGCACTGGGTTTCCCTATTATTTATTATGAGCAATTGATGATTCAATAACACCATTACTACATTTTATTAATCATTAACACATTCTGCTTGCAAAAACAGAGTTTTGTCCACATGTCCTATAAAAACAGACCACAGAAAAGAAGGATATGATTTCTCTGAAAATACTAAATCTAAGAAACTAGATAGATAAGGCATTTTTAATGGCTACTATAGCAAATTCGCATACTATAAATGTACTAAATTTTTTTGTGAAGACACCCGAATTATGCCTTTTTTAAAAAATATGCAAATAACCAATGACAGATGTATAATAAGAAAATATAAATTTAAAAATACAATCTCAAACATATAGGTTTTCTACATATTTTTAATACTTTTTAATAAACATGCACATCTTTTATGTATTCTACAGATATTAACAAGTAATGTCTGTCAAAATTTTCATTCCAAATTTATTGAATGAATATGTTATATTGAAAACAAATAATTAGCTGATATTAAAACACGTCATCTTTACTGACTAAAATTTTTTGCGGTATTTTTGTTCTTTGCACTAAATTGTACATGAACATTTCCCATGAGTTATTTTTGCAATTTTATTGTAAACATATCAACTACCTAAAGACCAAACATCACCAAATAGTATCAGTCTACTCTTTCCCTCACCCTCCCAATAGGATCTTCACCATCTATTAGGAAACAACAAAGGAGAAAATCTTGTTCAGCATTCTACCATGACATCTTGACAAACAAAATCCCAACATACAATTTTATCAAGAATGTTCCACCAGAAGAAGCCAAAAGACATCCATATTTTCATGATGTAAGCATTTACTATTCTTTGAAGTTCCTTCTACTCCAATCTAAAATATTTCTTTTGTTATCAGTCAAAGAAGAAAACAAGTCCATTACAATCACATTTTTCATCCCCACAACCTTCATAATTTTAAAATTAGTTCCCTTATTGAGAGTAATTACAACTTCAAGGAAGGTGAAAATATACAGACCTCATTAGTTGAGGCAATGGAAGAGCCATTTCCACTATCAACACCAGTAAACTGCAATCATGCAAAAAAATAAGATAAAGACTGGAAAACCACAAAAAAGCAGAATAAATAGAGACAAAAAATGCACGCAAAACATGATTTTCTTTTCTTTGTAATTTACTCAGTTTATGTACTTAATAAAATTTCTCTATTAAGCTATGCATCACAAAAAACAAAGAGATGGACATAAAGAAATACCACCACAACCGTTACAACATGGAAATCATCATCTCTAAAAAAAAATAAAATCACTGGCAAACTATACCTTTTTCTCAGAAGATTTAATCTTTCCCTCCATATCAGAGCATCGAGCCTAAAGTTCAAGACAAATGATTACGATTATAATTCTTTAGATGTGTAGAAAAGGAAAAAAGGCTATGTAACATTACTGACATTGAACTACCCTTGTACAAGAAAAGAACTAAATCAATTATCAAAAGGTAACAGGTTTCTACAATGAATAAGTACCTCAGCAACTGCTGCCCTAGCCTCAGCTGCAGCAACAGCATGCAAAGCATCTGCTAACTCCTTTCCCATTTGTTCCACCTGCTTCATGGCATTTTTTAGAGTGTTTTCCCTATCACGTGTAAGAGTTCGAACATTATCCCGTTCTTCTTGCAGCTCCTTCTTAGCTTCAGCCCATTCTCGCTGCAATAATTAATTAATTAATTAATATTTTTAACCACATAACACTAGGAAAACAAAAATTTGCAGGTCATAGATTCTAAAGTGCAACACAGATGCACCAGACAAAGTTACAACTACCTTTTACACGAAACTGAAGGAAAATTAAGTAAAGAAAGAAGAAAAAACACCAATCAATCAATCCAAATTCAATTACTGAAAATAAAACATGCAACCTGATTATCTGAATAACAGATTATTCTAAGAGAGAAGATATCGGATACAACAGACTCCTCCCAAGACATCTACTAGCCAGATCATCAGTTAGTGAATTGGCTGATCATGGAACCCATCCGATGATCTGAATAGGATGTCAACTTTGGAAGACAAAGAATATGCCATAAGAATTAAGAACGTCTGCTTGAGAACTCCCTGGCCTCATAATATCTTTTGAATTCTTTTTTTGATGGCCTTTTGTATAACATGATGTGTTGCCCTCTCAAGCAAATATCCTCAAAACTTTACTCTCCACACTTCTTATTAAGCTAGAATGTCTGCTTGAGAGTCTGCTGAGCTCTAAGTCCAATAAATGAGGTGTTCACTTGGATACCAGAACCCAAACTACATTTAATAAAACATCTAAACATTTATCCCTTCACCTGTCAAGCAACCAATAACTACATGAGTACCACAGTCAATCTGCACATGTTAGGCACCTTATCAACCATAGGAAGTCCTTACAAAAAAATGTTCCATTTTATAATAAAATAAAATAAAGTTCATAAAAAGAGAAAGAGAAGGTGCTACAAGGAAAAGGTGATTAGAAATCACCCCAAACCAAATACATTAAAACTACAAACACCTTCACCACAAACAAAACACAACCTCTTACTGCCCATCACAATAAATCAAGTATTCAACTACAACACCACAATAGCCCAACTCCCAGAAAAAATAGAAAAACTATCCACCCAATCCTTAATCATTTTGATCAATCCATACATATACCAATTACATTTAATAAAACCAATTTCACCACTTCAAATTTTTCAACCTCCCTGCCATTCCTTTTTATACCAATTACATTTAATAAAACCAATTTTGAGCAAACTCTTCACCACCAAAGAAAAAAAGATCCAGAATATTACTAATTTTAACTTCTATATCAATAATAATTACTCTTATTCTGCAAAATATTGTCTCACTATCGCTAATAAAAAAATAGTAAAAAATCTTCCTCACCTAACTCTTCTTTCATTGACCCAAACAAGTTGGCAACGCCTACTCCATTTGTCCCATTTAACCCCAACTGAAGCCACCTCTTGATACTCGAGCCGTCTGCTATCAAACCTTGGACAATATGACCTAGCTCCCAAAATGCCTACTCTAATTAACCAACTAATATCCAAACTGACCATTCTCTTGAACACCTTTATAAAATTCCTAGACAGCCTTGGGCCATGTAACTGACTGCTCTAATGAGAAAATGCTTTAGTAACATGAACCACTCTTCAGCATATGGGACCTTAGATACATCTCCACATGCCACAGCCCTTCTCTTTAGGCAATTCCACGGCACCTAAAAAAGTGAAACTCCAATAAACTAACCTCCAACACTTACTGACTCAACCAATGCTACCATTAGAGCCTAAATTAGTCGCAAAACTTCCTACCTGCACACCATTAGAGCCTAAATTAGTCACAAAACTTCCTACCTGCACCACAACAAACCCAATCTTTGTAGAGCTTCTATATGTGGAGCCCCAATGAAGCAAAGTAGTTGGGCCAAGAGATCGCCCCCTGACCCCCAACCAAGAACCTTGAGGCAAGCCCAAAGAAGTTCATGGAAGGACCCAAAATTTCTGGCTCACATATAAAGAGATTGCTTTTGTCATTTTGCAATTAGAAATCAAATGTTCTCATCCTTCTTAATGCAAGACCTTTTTCACCAAATAACATTTGATTCCTAATCCTAAAATGGCCAAATCAATCTCTTTATATAGGCCAAAATTTAGGACCCTTGCATGGACTTATTTGGGCTTGCTTCATGGGGACATGGTTAGAGGCAGACGTCCAATGTTGTAGAATTAGGAATGCAAGATGCTTACCATCACATTAGCTAACTGAAGTACTACAATTGGAGGAGAAACAAATAGATTGAATGTTTCACATGCTTAAATTGTTGAGTGCATGAATATTTCTTATATTTTATATTTGATTTTATTTCTACATTTTCAATTCAAATATGTTTTATATGTTATGTTTCTGTGTTATAATTTGATCCAGTAGCCTTTAAAACATGCAGTTTCTTTCTAAATTCAAGAATGTATTTTCTGAGTTAATATTTTTTATTTTTTAAAAAAATGCACTTTGCTTCAAAAACGCACATGCCTCACATTACGCATTGCAAAGTTGCACCTCAGGTGCAAAAAGCCCCTAAAGCACCTTGCACTTTTAAAACACCAGTGATGAGTTCCAAAAACAAATAGAACCCAAAAATGCTGGAACAATATCTTCTGCCAAGTCCTTAAAATCTCGTACCATCACTGATGGCCCAAGTATTAATATACAGCCATCAAAGTTCTGATCAACCTCTCCTTGGAGGTCCAGAAATCCACCTCCACTTGCCGATCAATCTGGATGTGAATGAGTTAGCAACACAACACTATCTCACACCATTATAATCAACAATGAAATCTCTAGACTCATCCTTGGTGCACGAAATATTAGACAGCATTGTCTAACAGATAGGATGATTTTTTAAAATAAATAACAAAGAAAAAAATTATTAAAGAAAAGGAAAGATGATAAGGAATCACCCAAAAAAAAAGAAAAAGAAGCACTGGACCCAAAGCCCCTCACATCTTAATACCCCCATGCAATAAACCAACCAAACTAAAGAAAAGAGAAACATAAACACCCAATCCTGACCCACGCAATAAGCCCACAAGAAATCCAGGAAAAAAACGAAATTTGAACCCCTAAAGCACCCAAAAACAGATGGGATGAATTTTTCACTATCCCATCAAGAAAAAAAATTCTAGCATGTCAAATGCATAATGATTATTCAGATTAATCATAGGAATAACCTAAATATTTCGCTATGGGAAACCCAAGCTTCAACGATGATCAAACAGCTAGAACTCATCCAGCTAGTCTAAATTTTCCACACTCATACACAAACACATGTTTGAACATTTTTCCCATTTAGCATTGCTTAGTGTGTATTTGTTCAGTGGTTCCTTCATTTTTTTGGGTGCAGTGTGTATTGCATAGGGAGGGGGCTGAGAGAAAGAGGGAGAGAGAGAGAGAGACCTCAAGTTTCTTAATATACTCCTCTTGTTTTCTCATCTCCATAGATCTGGCATCCTATCATCACCACCAAAAGGACAAAATAATGAAATGGATGATGCAATTAAATTAGAACACAACAAATAAAGAAAAAAAGACCAGATCGCATACCTCGCGAACCTGCTCAGCACTATGGATTGTGTCCAAACTAGCCTGCAGCAGAAAAATATCAGATTGTGCAAGGAACATGTAACAAAGAATTTTTATTCACCATAGTTTCCCACCTGTAGACGATGGACTCTCTCTGATAAACTTTTGACCTCGTCACAAGCCCTTTTTTCAGAATTCAACAGCATTTCTTTTTCATGTTTTAAAACAGACACCTATTGCAGAATAACAAATGTCAAAGCCATCAAAAAGAAATCGTGGCACTAGAGAATCAACAATATTGTAAGTTTCTTACCTTCATACTTAACTTTCGAGAAAGCTCTTCAGATGCATGCACAGAATCAGAATTTTCGCGTAGTCTTCTCTGGTACTCAACTATCAATTGTGAAAACTCTACATTTCTAGCTAGAACTCCGTTGACTTCATCTCTCTGGCATAATATCCACAGCACGCATTAAACATGTAAGATGTAGCATGGATCCATCAACCAACACACAGAAATCTTTTTGCATGTACTCACATGCATATAAGCATGGAGAGATGGTGGAACAGGATTTTAGGAAAATGTGTTCAAATACCTGATGCTCAAATTCTTTCATAAAACTATCAAGCCTCTCTCGTGCAAAATTCGCTTCCATTGCAAACTTATCACGTTCTAATCGTAGTGATAAAGCATCACTCCTGACCCAAAATGTCAAAAAGTGGAGAATAATGCATACTATTGGGTCTCAAACTAAACAAACATGAAAGGCAAAAAGATGAAGGTTATACTTCGACTTTTCCAACTCCTCTTTCAGAGTTTTAGCACGTTCAACTGCCCGTTCGTGAGCCTTTTTTGTAGCTTCCTGTAATATGCATTATCAATGAAAAGGCCAATACAGGCTTATAAATCTAAATGACCTATGAGCCTATGACCCATACCTGAGAGCCCTCAAGCAATAGCATCAAGTCCTTCCTTCCATCGGCCGCTATAACAAAAATGAGAAATGCATTGGGACAATTAGGATTCATGGCTAAGTTCTACAAGACATACAGGCATAAATCGAAAACATGGTTGAAGAAAACTGAAGAGAGGAGAGCTTGAGAGTTCGGCAATGAGGGTCTGAGAATGAGAGTTTCGAACCTGCTCTCTCTCAGTACCCTAACACTATTTTATTAAGATATATTTGAATAATTACAAGGAGGCCCTTACTTGGGCAAGAATTTACAAAGAACTTAATATAGACAAGATGGGCCCAGAATAAGGCCCATTACAGAAAAACATAAATAACAATAAAGAATAAACAACCTATGGGCCATTCGGCCCATCTTCTCTATAGTCCCCCTCAAGCTGAGCATAGATGTCAATCATGCCAAGCTTGCTAGTATCATGCTGAAGTTTT